TCTCTAATACAAATTAAGGAAAGACGAATGTGAAAATGAGGGGGGGGTCTGACCCGTGTACCGGGCACACTGATTTCCTCTCCAGCGGGAGACGTACACCCATGCTTTCCTTCGGCAGCCTTTGCCTGTTTCGTGCGCCAAGCTGATGTGGACCTTCAGGTACTGCACCTATTGTCTGTATATTACGTGCTACAGGAAGAATAATCAGGTAACTGAAGGGTCTTTCCATTGGCATTTCCAAAAATACCAACTTTGAAACGTTTTTTAGTTCTCTCCGAAATCGCTCTCTCATGGTGGTCTTAAGACCAAAAGATCACAAGCTTGTGAGTCATTATTTCAGTCAGACCTATCGGTTAAAGAGCTTTGGACACCTGTAATGTACATCGTGATACGGTATGGGGTTCCCTAGCTATGTATGGCGGCGGGAAGCCACATTCTTTAGTTGCATGTAACCCCAGAAGTGCAGACCACCCTCCGCGCTCGAGCAGCTCACAAGTCGATAACAGATGCTTCGCAGTGTATATAGCTGAATTTTAAGGATTGAAAATGTCAAACAACTTGCCGTATTGCCAAAATAGTACACTCTCCCGACCATGTATCAAATTTGCTCTGTAGCGACTTCCAGCTGGTCATAGAGAACTGAGTTTGACGGCTTTGGTTGCGTATTGTTCCGGGCATAGCAGGAGACCGAATATTGCCATATCATTAATTATAAGCTATAAACGCGTTGAGAACGGTCATATGCTTACGGCGCACCGCATAAAGACTGACGAATGTAGATTTCGATCTCGCGACGTAAAAGCAGGCGGTTTGTGTCTTACGATCTAGCTTCGGTCTGAGAAATGTTCTATGAAAAATATTCTGTACTAGTCTCTTCTCAGTTTCCGTTGGCCGCCTTGAACCTGGCCCGGAGCAACGTAAACTGGTAGTTACCGTTGCGTAATGAAGCAGTTGCTGCGCGAAAAGGGTAGCTGCGTCTTACGTTGACCATACGACAGTTGTACGAATGGCGGGCGCGTTTGCCATATATAAGGCGCGGCCTGACCAATATTTTCTAAGGGATATTCCAATCATACAACTCCCGCGCACGGTAGCAGGATGCACCGGCCAAGGCAGTTTGTAACGGGTATCGCCTTCAGTTGGCATGGATGACTCCCACCCATTTTATCTTGTCAACAACCGGCTAGGTTCCAACCCGACAGTGGGCCTAGTGGCCAAGAGGCAGAAAAACTCTGCTCACATCAGGCTCACAACCACACCTGGGCCTACGGTCTCAGGTAGGGATGCGAATTTACGTTTTACGTTTTTACGTTTTAAGGAATTAAGGTTACGTAATTACATAATTAAGATTGGACCTGGCCGTAATTTACAGAATTAAGGGCTCGCCGTAATAAGGTCCCTCAGGAGGGGTAGAAACCTTAAAAGCTTAACAGACCCATGGGTCTTACAGGTTCCGCCGGTCTGCAAACCAGGGTGCCGCTGACCCGTCCACTCCTCCGAACACACCACAAACCCAGCCATGGGGGAAGCGTGAAAGAGTCCAACAATGCAGGTTGAAACCCGCGATTCCCTCCGCCCAACCAAGCAAAAGAGCAAGTCAAGTAGTCGGAGGGCTTGGCCTTGTCGCACGACGTGCGGGGCGGCAGGACCGGCAAGCCCGCAGCATTGCGAGGGGGCAAAGCGTACGCGAGCAGCGTGGTGCCCTTTTTCATATGCTGCTGCTGGTCCTTAAGAGCAGGTGGTGTTGCAGTATCAACGCCGCCATACGCGCCGGTGCCGGGGGTCGTGCCCACGTCAGCCATGGTTCAAACTGGAAAGGCGATAGTCGCCAAGTCGGCTGTACAAGCGCCAAACTGGTGTCAAAAATATGTAAATAAGTAAAGAATGGTGTTGCGAATGTGAAAACGCTGAAATTGTGCTGAAAATCCAAAATCGTACACTAGTACGGCAACCTTAAATTAAGGGTCCAGGGTCCAGGCCGTGGAAACCGTAAATTACAGTAATTTACTATATTACGCTTTTAAGCTTACGTAATTAAGGTTGTCAAATCCCAATTCAGCTGAAACTCACATCCCTAGTCTCAGGACAAAACTCTGATTCTGCTTCCGCTCGCGCACACAAATCTCGATCCTATCTCGCTTAAGACAATCTACTGGTATCGATTCCTTTCTATAAACGATCCTGGGCGCCCCGGTGTGTCCATCCAGCGGTTCCCCCAAACGAGAAATTTTTTGGGCTGCCGCATTTGGCGCGGCGCTACAGCACCTCAAAAACGCTTACGCTGATTGCACCAGCTAAGTAAGAATTTTAGTCCCCAAGGCAACCCCATTGTAGTTTCCTACTACAACTAGCCTTAACGTGGTTAGGGGCATAGCATTTTCCTTGATATAACGTCCCCTAAAGGGGGGGAAGAAGGGGATGACCGAAGGGATGACCGAAGAGGATGACCGAAGACATCAAATTTGGTAGAGCAAACCGCAAGAACGCGCGGAGCGCTCTTTCCCAAGCGGCTCACCCTCGCCAAACGCTGCTACTGTTGTTCCAAAAGCCTGCCTTCTGGTACCCCAGGACATGGAGTAACGGAAAACCAGGCTTGCCACAGGCAAGACGGCAATAAAGAACACCACACCTCTTCAAAGGTTTTCCCGAGCTAGAGCTTTCCTGGAGTTTTGCAGCAGGAAATTGCAATTCATCCTACTGCGCGAATCGGAGCAGACTGTAGGCATTTTTGCGTTTTTGTGCTGGAGTGGCGTACAAACTGTGCATGCACCATCCTCATGGACGACGTCAATGGAAAGCTAACTTGGTAAAGCTCTTTATAATTTTTGTCAACCTTGCGCCAATGGAACGACCCTCTCTACGCGGCGGCAATGCGGAGACGGTGGAGACGGTGCGCGCCGCAGTCGCCGCCGTAGAAAATAATTCTGTGAAATTGCAGTGCATTCGGACCTGTAGGCGGGCCGTATCTTGCAGTTCTATGACACGGCCTGCAGCCTGTGGTCAAAATAATCCAAAATAGGGCCGGTCATCCGTGAACAGCACATAGAACATTGTGCACATAGACCTCCGCCAGCCGCATTACAATAAGATACACGTTTCGACTTGGTAGGTTGCTAAGGCGCGGCATCATGTCCCTAAACACTCCAGGATCGGTACCGAGAAGCCACAGGGCCACGATGGCGGGCTGCGAACAATTCGGTCAAGGAGGACCCCTTTGTGCCGCCAGCTCCCTCATGTCACGTATTTAAGTGCTTACCTAAGCAGCAATAGCTGCTGGGAGGTCGGTTGAAGTGCCGTTGGCGCACCCTCCGTCGTTTATTACCAACTCCCCGCGCCAACTGCTGCTAAAGTGAAACCGTCTCTCAGCGGGAAAACAGTTTATGCGCAAGATGCGGGACTTAGCAGTTTCCGAGGCATTTAGCATTCCAGACGTGTTCTAGGTAGACCAAAACAAATCTGTTCAAGGTAGTTTCCTTTCATGCGATGGTGCGATAGCACTTCGATGGTATGTATGTGTGAGTATGTGTGTGGTTACAGTGGGCTCCAGAGTAGAGCCATAGATGGCGATGGCTTTTGGATTGCAAAGCCTGTCGGGTGTATGCATGGCGCGGATATTACAAATTATTATCGGGCCCCGTCAGGAAAAAGAATTTTGCATCCTGCTGCTCTCAAAAAGGCATCCTTCGTAGCTCCCGACCTTTCTGACTTGTATAATGTTTTACCGTTTTACCAGGGTTAGGCACTGCTGGTAACGCGCGACCATTGCCCCCAGGAGATCCCGGGATCGAGATCTATTAGCGTCGAAAATCCTTCCGATGGTGGAAGGTATTGCGCCCCTAGTTGTTGGATGGTGGTGACCTGGGATAAAGTTCACCTGCGAGCCGACCAGGAATGAAGTTGGGCCGCTGTCGACCCGGCAGATTCCGTTGGATGCTGGTGGTGGGTGCGGAACCTGAGCGATCCCCTGAGAAGTTGACTACGGTGATTGGATGAGGGTGCCCCGAAATACCGGGGAAGGCAGGGTTTCGCAGGGTAGCTGCCACGGGTGAAGATATACCCCTCTGTTTCACACATCATTTTACCGTTCTGTGGAAGCACACCGTTATTACTACTACTGTACTGTCTCTATATTGCAAATAGGGTCTGGTTTATTTGCGCGATTTGGCGCGTCGCCTCTGCTCTGACAACGCCTAATTAATGAATTTACTGCCATATACAGTGATAATCCGAAAGGAAGGCGATTTGCCGTCATGTGTCACATGTACCGTTACTAAAACATGCATATCGCCTTCTCCTCTAGATCTGTTACTAGCGCACATACCCGGCCACCCCCGAGACGCTGGCCAGCAGCAAATAGCTAAAATGGCGAATTAATGAACACACCGCAGAAACACCTGTTCCGCACAAGAATTGACGCAGTGCAGCGCAACCAGCTCTCGCGTCTATGTCAGTTGTCAACCCCCCTCCCCTCCCCTCCCCTCCCCTCCCCTCCCCTGCCCTCCCCTCCTCAATCCTCTATGACGCATCCAGCCAATCCATCACACGCACGTCTCACTGCGATAGTCCAAAACAAAACATCAGAACGGCTCTAACTAGCTGCGGATGGGGCAAAAGCTCTATCTAGCTGTGGGTAGGACAGGCTCAGACAGGGTTAGGTCGCGACAGCGACGGCCACATCACCAGTTTCATTCCTCATCCCCCGAGTCCCCCATCGATTACCCCTCGTTACCCCCCCAGGGGCCCAGGCAACACATCGGCCCCCTCTCCTCAGCCGCTTATAAAGGTAAAAACGTAAATCAATACGCGGGTCGGCTGTCCCAGGATCGCTTGCTGGTCGCAAACACTTCCAGCTCTCCCATCCCACCTTACCTCGGCCACCTGCCTTTCCCCCGTAAGCACACACCTCCCGTCTTCTTGCCCAAAGGCGGCGTTGCATCTTCGCCCCAGAATCTAAAACACCAGCCGCTGCCAGCGGCAGCCCGGTATTGTCCGTTGGCCTGTCACGCCAGCAGTGACGTGCCCGCTTGGTGGCAGGCGGAGAAGAGCAGCTCCCACTTGGGCGTGTCCTTGCCGGGGCCCTCGCCCTCGGTACTGCAGATGCTGTAGAAACGGTTGACGGTTGCGGGCAGTAGCAACGACTGCACAACAGCCTCTGTGTGTGAAGTTGGTGGCGGTGGGTCGGACGGATGCGTGGATGAATAGATAGGCAGCCGAGAGGGCAGGTAAAGTGGTTAGGAAAGGGTCCGGGGAGGAGGGGAAAGCGGGTACCGTCCACACGCACACAGGGGTGCATGGATCGAGAATAGATTGCGTCCCGGTATCCAGGCAGCCTCAACACGCGAATGCAAGCGGTAGCGGGGTGAGTGAATGAAGGGTTCGAGGGGTAAAAAGCCTGAGTGAATGAAGGGTTCGAGGGGTAAAAAGCCAGGGAGAAAGTCGTTGAGAATCACCAGGAAAGGGGGGGAGGCACACCGGGGTGTACCCAGCCAAGGTTCCGGGCAGCGGCAGGGAGGGAACAAACCCTAATTAGGCAAGCAAGCCGCAAGCACTGAAGCCCGGGGACCAGGAGCATAAGACACGGGTGACGTACGCGCCCTAGCGCCAAGGTAATGTGCAAGGCAGACGATCTGGCAGGGACCGCTGTGGAGAGGAGGGGACGGGCGGGGTTGCTCGTAGTGGCAAACGCGGCACATACACCCAGACGCTGCAATGTCCGGACACGGAGGTGAAGGGGGAGGACGGGCGGATTTCCCGTAACGCGGGAAGGCTGGACGAGGCCAGGGTAAAACATCATTCGACCGCCCACCCAGCTATTCAACTTCTCCGTGGAGATGGCACCGGCCCACCGAACCCCTGACCCCAAACCCCCAGCAAAACTCTTGACGCCATGAACCCACCCGCCACGGCAATCCTCGATGCCTCCCCCCGCTGGTCGTCTCTCGGTGACAGTTGCACATCCTGGCGTGAGCCCGCTGTGGCCTGAAGCAGCGTGTTAAGGTCGAACGAGGTGTACGGCCCGTCAGTCAGACGCCCGGGCCGGATGACGGTGTACGGCAGGCCGGATGACAGCAGGTGCAGCTCTGAATCGCGCTTGTACTTGAGGACACCTGTACGATGACATTAAGGGGGAAGGAAATCGCATGAACGTTCTCATGTTGCTGATCCAACTCTTAACAACTTTTCCCTTATGGCATCCTGGCTAACCAAGGGCAAAAAGTAAAATATTATGACAAAAATATTCCGACAAAAATAACCCATTAATACTTCCTATAACTTTCCGCAACCGGGTTTCGCAGGTTAAATTTTTTGGGGGGATTACAAGTTAGCCTAAGCCCATCCATGGCCTCCCAGCATTCCAGTCACTCCCAAATGGTTGTCAATTGTTGTCAACCCGCACGACGATACCGTGCTTACGTCGTGCCCAGCCACCCAGCCACACAGGCAACCCCCCACATCCACCCAAGTGGGACCCGGTCACGCAGACACGGCCACCCACCGAACAGGTTGAGGATGCTGAAAGGCAGTTCCTTAAACCGCTCCACCCCCACGGACGTCACCAGCACGAAGCGCTTCACAGAGGACGGGGTGGAGTCTATGAGGTTGCGAGTGGCCACCCAGTCCGTGTTGCGAGGACCGTTTTCGCCCTCCCATCTGGGGGGGCCGAAGAGAGGGGGTGCGTGTCAGGATGTGCGCAGGAGTCTTACAGGACGGGGTGCGCGGACGTGTGTATGTGTTTTAATGCCGTCTGAGAGGAAACCTTTTCCCCGGAGTAAAAACACGGTTGCGCCTCAGCTACGCTTCGCCTTTGCGAGAGCTCCCACTCCTTCCTCACAAACTCCTCTCCGTGCCGCTTTCATATCCTCCATGTGATAAAGCGGCCCAGACGCCTCCCACTCTGTAACATTACATAACATTACATATCCTCCATAGAAACAGCACTATTTTAGCTGATACGGACACTGGCTGAACACTCTCTCGTCAGTCGTCACATCCATCAAGCCTTGAACGAAGTGCTCACCACGCCCCTCAGCCACGCCCCTTACCCGTATTCTCGCTCCTTCCCTTCCCTTCCCTTCCCTTCTATTCCTCACCTCCTACCTGGAAGATGGGAAGGCTGTAGTTCCCGTACAGCAGCAAACCGCCGCAACCCCCTGCGTTAAACCCACCATCGTGGACCGATCCCTCAGGTCGGCAGGGAATACCTGCGCACGGCGATGGGGGAATGCGGCAAGGGAGAGATGGACGTCGGGTCGGGTGAGAGGGCGGAACAAGATACAGGGCGGATAGGATAGCTGCGATACTGGAAGATGAGGAGATATGGGAGAGGGGAACCCCAGCTGCCGGACACCCCAGCTGCACATTCGAACACCGGACGTCGCTGGAAGCTGGCGCAGATATGGACCTGGGTACAGGTAACAGCAGCAGCAGCAGTCTTAGCAGCAGTCTTAGCAGCAGTCTTAGCAGCAGGTCTTAGCAGCAGGTCTTAGCAGCAGCAGCAGCAGCAGCAGCAGCGGCAGCAGCAGCGGCAGCAGCAGCAGCGGCAGCGGCAGCGGCAGCAGCAGCAGCAGTACTTACATAGTCCAGAACCCGCGACATGGCGGTAAGGCTTGGCTGCCCTAGGTCAGTCGGCCGCCCCCAGCCCCTGGCCCCCTGGCCCCCGGCCCCAGGTTTACCCGCCGGGGGGGGGAGACCGCGACTACAGCAGCCCCGCTGTCCTCGGGTGATGCAGAGAGCTTCCCTTCGACCTTCCAACGCGCACCTCCTCCTCTTTCTTCTCTGCTGCTCACTTTCCTGCAGCTGGTCCCATCAGAGGCCGCCGGCTGCCCCCGTCTCCCTTCCTGTCCGGCATCAGGTTCCCGTTCCCACATCTCTGCCGCGTAAACCCACCTCCACATCCGCCCCTGGGAAGAGCTGTGCCGCCCGGCTGCGGTTGGCCCGTGCCCGGTCCACCGCACGCACTCGGAATCCCCGCTGACGGCCCGTGCGCAGAGGCCGGTGGGGTAGAGTGTGTTGAACGAGGCGGGGTGGGAGGAAGGTAAGGTTGAAGCGGGGCTAAGACTTGGAACAAACAAAGTAGGATCTGTGTATGAATCCCTGCAGGGTCCTTGCTTGTGGTTCCTATCCGACACAAACGTGGTTCTCTGCTGTCTTCTCCTCGCTTGTTCAAAAAGCGTGGTGGCGGGGTTGGGAGAGCGGGGCTGTGGTGCAGCAGCCGAACCGGTCAGAAGCCGCAGCAGCAACGCAGCACTGTTAAAGCACATAGAGGGAGTTGAACCGGGCGGCATCACATACCTCCAGGAGCTTCGCAGTCACAATTTGGCCCACGCCACCTGTAGCTCCAGCCACGAGGACGAGGTCGCCAGGTTCCTACGGGGATGATGGAATTCCGGCACCAACTTTTGGGCTCGCCCGTGTACATCCCAGATCAGCCTGTAACGATGAGATCTTTAGAGACAGCAGCCCAGAAGCATGGTGACTGACCAGCGATCGCTCCTGCGAAGCCCTCGTCGCCACAACTAGCGCCCGGCTTGTTCGCACAAGTGGGAACTTGTGCGTTGGTGCGCAAACCCGCCCAGATACCGCGATGGAACGCATGATGTCAAGCGCTAATACGGTTATTGGCTGCCTGTGACTGTACGCTTCTGGAAGAATTCCAACTGATGGCCGACGGTTGCTATATGCTGCTTGGCTGATCTATTACTGATACATTAACAACATCGATAAAGCTAAGCACGGACGTGTCATGAAACTGCATGGTTTGATGTCACCGCCAAAGGCGCATGTCGTCGAGTCGTTGGAGGACATGCGTTATCGTGCAAGCACAAACCCTAAGCCCTGAAAACATTGGAATTCTTGATTAATTACATGGTCTCTATGCATTTATACAATGTGGCCACAGTAGCAAAAGCGTAGGTCTTCTTTGAACCTACCCCACCCAGTCGGATACACGTAAGAAGTTATCGGGACAGTTGCTTTCCCGTTTCTCGTTTCCACTCCAAGGAGTTGACAAGCTTCACAGCTCTGCATACTTCCTAGACCTAAAGCATACTTACTGCTAAAATATTTGCGCACCTCGTGCCTTCTCACCGACAGCATCGTGCCTCCCGGCAAGACGCGGACGCCATGTCGCAAGCTGTCTGCCGCAAAGCCGCAGGCCAGAGCCTTTCCAGTCTCGTACTCCTCGTTCAACAACAAGCGCAACAACAATGCAGCGCTTCAACCTCCATGGCCGCAAGGCGCGCCTGCACCGCGCTGTTCAGCACAACATCCTTCCAACCATGGACATCCTCCGGGCAGCTGCCACTGCCATTTCCCCTGCCTCAGCAGCCGCAGTCACACCTTTACGATCTTTGGGGGCGTCGCAGCTTCGTCTCTTCCGCCAGTAACGTTTTATCACCCTCACTGGACAAAAACGCGGCAGCCAACTTAACCGCCATGCAGGCCCTGCTACAGCAAATGGGAACCCTACACGAGGCTATCCGCGGGTCTGGGGGCCCCACGGCCATCCACCGTCACCGCTCTCGTGGCAAGTTGCTTCCCCGGGAGAGGATCGACGCCATTCTGGACGAGGGCTCGCCCTTCCTGGAGTTATCACCCCTGGCGGGCCGCGGCTTGTACGGTAGGTGACCACACGTTCGCCACTGAAATCCAAGCACTCCCAGTCACAACCCTCGAAGTATGTGTCTTCCGCGCACGGGGATGGGGGGAGAGGATGGAGTCTAGAGGCCTGGGGCGCGGGCCCAGAACGGAGTGAGGAAGGGAAGGAGGGTTGTCTCGTGTGGTGGTTAATAATAGTATTGCGCCTTGGGCCCCCTCATCGGAGCTCCAGGTGTGTGTGTGTATGGGCCCCCAGGTTCCACCTCCGGACGGTAGCGCAACCCCAGGAGGCGTAAGAGACACGCACACATTAACCCGACTAGGAGTGTTTTTCGTCTTTTGAAGCGGCTGACCTCCCGCCGCGCCAAAAAGGAGCGGAGAACTGGAAGAAGGAGCGGAGTTTGGCACGAAGCACAATCCAGAGCAGAGCATTTCCCTGGCTTTCCCCCCTGGAGCTGGCCCCTCTACATATTCTTTGCCTCCCCCTCTCTCCCCCCCTTGAGTCCCCGTAAGGGCTCAAAGAGTCCAGGGGTCATGTCAGTTCAGGTTGGGCCAGCAGGTAACCCGCGCGGATTCGCGGATTAGCCTCTGGTTCGTTAAGTTCGTTACGCTGGTCGGTTCCTTGGTTCAGTTGATAAGTTCGTTGGGCTCCTTGCCCCCCTGCCTGGGCCCCACACTGCCCGCCCTCCTGCGCCACAGGCCATGAGGAAGTGCCGTGTGGCGGCATTGTGACGGGAATCGGCAAGGTGCACGGCCGGCTGGTGGCCATCGCGGCCAATGACGCCACCGTCAAGGGCGGCACCTACTACCCCATCACAGTCAAGGCACGTGGGGAAGGGCGGTGGAAATGCGGTCGGGCGGTCAGGAGGCGGCCGGGAGGCGGCACGGAAATGCTTGTTTGACGTGCTTTCAAAACCTCTCGACCAGGGTCCCCGCTAACCCTTTCCCCGCTAACCCTTTTTTTGTCCACCGTGGACCTAGCCCCTCTGTTTCCATTTTTTGCCGCCGCATGCACTTCCGCGCCTAATTTCAGCCCTTCCCTTTGCACCCTTCGTTTGTCACAACCGCCAATCACTGCCGCCGCCATTCACCATCACCGCCGTTCACCGCCGCCGCACTATGATGCGCCTTTGGTCGGACGCACAGAAGCACCTGCGGCTGCAGGAGGTTGCCGCCCAGTGCCGACTGCCGTGTGTCTACCTGGTGGACTCGGGGGGAGCCAACTTGCCGCGGCAGTCTGAGGTCTTCCCCGACAGAGACCACTTCGGGCGCATCTTCTACAACCAGGCGCGGATGTCCGCTGCGGGCATTCCCCAAGTGGGTGTCTGTGTGTGTATGGGGGGGTGGCCCGGGAAGAGGAGGGGTCCGGGGAGGGGGGAGGGAGAGGAAGCGGGTCGTGGAAATGAACGGACCGAGGTGGGCTGGGCTCTCGGTGCTTGCCAGGACTCGGAATGGGCTGTGTGTGAGTGTTCATGGTAAACGGGAGGGGACATCAACGTCGCCACTCGGCGCCGCCACACGACTGGTTATTGGCCCTGATTGGGAACCCCCCCGGCTTTTACGGAGCCCCCGCATTTGTGCGGAACCTGTAACGTGTAACTTGTAATCTGTAGACTGTTAGTGATGGAGATGATGTAGGAGCTGGAGAGCTGGACGGTGAGGATGAGATGGGGTGGGGGTGGGAGAGAAGGAAGAAAAAGTTCGGGAGCGGAGGAAGTGATTGCTACGTGCCAGTTGTGCCCCCTCCGGAACATGTCCCCGGAGCCTTGCGCGGGTCATCGTCCGTCTGTATTTATGTATGTATGTCTGGTCCTCGTTGGTCCACCTTCCCATCTTTCTGCCCAGCCGGCCGGCCAGCTTTCCCCGCACCGCCCGTCCGGCCGCAGATCGCCGTGGTCCTAGGCTCCTGCACCGCGGGGGGCGCCTACGTGCCCGCCATGGCTGACGAGTGTGTCATAGTGCGGGGCAACGGCACCATCTTCCTGGGCGGCCCGCCGCTGGTGAAGGCCGCCACCGGGGAGGACGTCACGGCAGAGGAGCTGGGTGGGGCGGACCTGCATTGCGGCACGTCAGGTAAGAGAGGGATTTGAAGTGGGGTGATGTACGGCTAGGCTGTACGGCTGGGGTGTACATCATGGCAAGATGGCGAAACCCAGCAGCGCAAAGGCGCACCATTACTGTCCTACACAGCTCACTGTTTGATGAACCTCCTACACATACACCTCCTACATGTACACCCCCTTAGTTTTCCCTCCCATTTTCCTGCCAATATTCCACTGTCCTGCCACCCCGAAATCGGCCCCCACAGGTGTTACCGACCACTATGCCCAGGACGAACCTCACGCACTCGCCATAGCTCGGGACATCATCGCCACGCTACCAGTTCCCTCCTCCTCCTCCGCCACCTCGGCGCCCTGGCACGAGCCGCTGTATCCGGTCGAGGACCTCAGAGCGGTGGTACCTGCGGATCCGCGGCGCTCCTTCGACGTCCGCTCCGTGTTGAGCCGGCTGCTGGACGGCAGCAGGCTGGACGAGTTCAAGGCCAATTTCGGGGACACGCTGGTTACAGGTTCGAATCTGAATCGGGGCGGAAGGGCCAGGGAGGTTTGGATATGGATAGTGGCATATATAGCAGTGATGGATTCGGATTTGGATTTGGATTTGGATGGGGGTTACGGATCTAAGGATCCGATTTCGAATCTGATTTACCCCCAAGGCGCCAAGCGCCATACCCCGGCCACTGGAGTCGCGCCGTTGCTTGTGACTCGGGCAGTTGGTAGCTGGGTGCTATGGACGTCAGCGCCATTGATGCTTTATCTTTTGTACTATGATTTCCACCGATTCCCGCATCCCTGAGCGACCCGCTGCCCACCCAGCATCCACCCACCCACCCACTCATCCCGCCGCACGCGCAGGCTTCGGCAGCATCTACGGCCAGGCCGTGGGCGTGGTGGCCAACAACGGAGTGCTGTTCAGCTCCGCAGCGCAGAAGGGGGCCCACTTCATTCAGCTGTGTGCGCAGAGGGGGCTGCCGCTGCTGTTCCTGCAGGTGCCGCTGAGGAGCGGGCAGGGATGAAGTGTGTCTCCAGGCACTCACATACTTGAATTGAAGAGATAAGCAGCCCCTGCTGGTGTCCGGAAGCTAGTAGGAGCCCTCTTAGGACACCTTTGCACCACGTCGCCTGCGAAATACCTACGACTGACCAGATGCGCTCTCACACACTTCCTCGCCAAATTTCCTCGCTTTTGGATGTTGGGAGCTTTGGGCGTGTCCATGATGTTCTCTCTTAACGGGGAAGAAGCTCATGTCCACTCCTATCTTAGCATAACAAGCATCAGAGCGATCTCGCGCGTATGCCCGAACATTTGATTCTATACACACCCGTGACGAACGAGAAAAACCGTCACTTTCTGCAATCCTCCGTCCTCTCCTACGCGCCGTACGTACGACATGACTAAGAACATCACTGGCTTCATGGTGGGTCGCCAAGCCGAGGCGGGAGGTATCGCCAAAGACGGCGCCAAGATGGTTCGGGCGGTGGCGAATGCGGAGGTGCGCGGCCTGGGTAGGAGGTGCACGGGTAGGCGACTGGGTGCCTCGGCGGGTGCCCCCCAGTTCACACGGGTCAGGGCAGCCGGGCAGCCGACTGGGCGGCTCTGACTGCAGGGCGCTGCCACTGCTGCGCAACCTTGGTTTGGGGCGATCAGGTTTGCGATCCAGCGGGTAGCCCCGGCGCTGTTGGTGGGCAAGGTATGGGCCAGGGTTGACGGGTTGTAGGGTATTGGGGGGCAGCTGGCTTCATGTTGAGGGTTCTGGTGTTTGAGGCCTCCCTGTGCAGGACCAGGACCTTGTGCTTCTTGCTGTGAGAGTGCACGACATGGAGCAGACCCACAGATGCCAACACGGGACGCACCGATATGACACATGATAGCGATCTGAAGCTCAGCATCATAGTACGCAATGCCGTACAAGCGCACGTACGCAGTCTGTATGTTTAGGTATGCTTTGTTCACCCTGGGAATCCCCCCGCGTGCTGCTGTTTCGCGCCCTCCTGTCCCACTACTACTACTCGTAGGTCCCTAAGGTGACAGTGGTGATTGGCGGCAGCTTCGGTGCCGGCAACTACGGCATGTGCGGCAGGGTAAGTGGGTGGGTTGTTGGCTGGGTGAATTAGCGGCAGTCCCCGGGGAGTATCGGCACGGAAAAGGATCCGGTAGGCTAGGGGCTTGAGGTGGCCTTTTTGCACTCTCATCTGGGTGGTACTTGGGCCTGACGCTGCAGCAATACTACTACAATACCACGACCACCTCAAACAGCAACCGCGTCCACAATCTCCTCTTCCCTCCGCTTCCGGTAACCACACCCATAACCCCTCATAACCCATTCAAGTGGCCCAGAAGCCTCCCACTCTGTAACAATTCAATTCAATTCAATTCATAACCCGCATCCGCACCAACTCCACCGTTGGGCCGCTCGGACTGGGGTCAAGCCTAAATAGGCGTCTGGTTCCTTCCAGCCCTTCAGCAACCCTCCCCCAAATCCCCAAACCCCGCCACTTGCAGGCCTACAGCCCCCACTTCATGTACATGTGGCCCAACGCCCGCATTGGCGTCATGGGAGGGGAGCAGGCAGCGGGGGTGCTGGCACAGGTGCGGCAGCTGGAAGCCATCTGGGTCACCTCAGCAGGCGGTAGGCGACCTGCGCTCGGAGCAGGAAAACGGGGCCCACGATCCTTAACACTGGGGGAGCTCCTGGGGAAAGCGGGAAAGGGGACCTACGTTTTAAAACGCCGGCACGGGTGCAGACGGACCAGCACTCAATAATGCATCGCAGAACTTGCCATACAAAGGAACGAAGCAGGCTGTGCCAGCGTGGCTGTTATGAAGGCGATGCGTTGGGGAGATGCAGCTTGCTAGGCACCACCCAACCAACCGCAACTAACTAACTGTCCGCACCAGAACCAATCATTGAACGTTCATTTTTGACGGCGTCAGGTGGAGTCTGAGAAGCACCGTCGCTCGGGTAAGACCTGGCCGGCGGAGGAGGAGGCTCGCTTCCGGGCGAACATGACGGGGCTGTACGACCAGCAAGCCCGACCTGAATACGCGGGCGCCCGACTGTGGGACGACGGCTGCATTGATCCAGGTCTGGTCTGGTTGAGGTTCGGGTTGGGGTTGGGGTTGGGGTTGGGGTCGGGGGCATGGGCAAAGGAAAAGGCAAGAGGACGGATCCGGATGTGGGCCATACCGGCCGAACATGTTCATGAACACCTATCGGGGAGGGGAAGGGAAACGCTCCAGGTGGGCGCCCATTCGACCAGCCAGTGGGTGCCTGGGCTTGAAGGCACACACGTTATGCTATGGAAGGGCAGGGGCTGGCTATGTCGTACCCTGGAGGTGCCGAGGCTAGAGTGTGCTCTGGAGGGGCCTGAGCTGGCCACTTGTGGCTGGGGACAAGGGCGTCACATTTGCATATCCAGCCATCCGGGTCTAAACCCCCGTAGTCTGCGTGTGTGTGTGTGTGCGTCCTTGGCTCGGCGTGTGTGTAGCGTGAACATTGCGCCACTGCCCAGGCGCCTCACTGACCTACGCTTCCCCTGCTAGGTGTGAGGATGGAATGGAATATTGGGTTACTGTGGTCTAGTGTTTTGGTCTTAGGTCCCAGCACGACACAGAGACATGCAACCTTCGTTTTTCTCCTGCCTTCTGCTGATGTTAATGCTGTTGTGTCCCGTGCCCCCAGCCGACACACGGCGTGTAGTGGGGCTGAGTCTGGCAGCCGCGACGTTCAACCTGCCCAGGATCAGCAAGGAGAGCCGCTTCGGGCCGTTCCGCTTCTGAAGGGTGCGCATCACCTTGTGGCGCCTTCTCCCAATCGTCGGCAGCCGTACGTTTGAAATTGGCATGTATTTCCCCCCTGTCTGGCTGCACGGAGTATTCGTTGAATGAGGCGTGGCGTACAGTCGTGGTGTTTGCTGATGTACGTTGTACGGGCATGATGTACACTTATTTTGCGTGTGCATAACGAACGCCTATCCTGAACGGTAGCCTGGGGCTAGGTGTGGCCCTTAATGCCAAGGTGTTGTCCAGGCTACGGAACGGCGAGTGTCTGTGGCTTACAGAATACGGCAATTTTAACGTGTGCGCTGACGGCGGCCTGCTGGCCATAAGCTAAGCGTGCCACGTGTGGGGTGTGGTTTGCCCTGATATGCATGGTTGTATATGAATGTCACGTTTTGCCGATGTCAAACACACGAGCGGTAGTAGAAATTGCATTTGCTTCTGCTTTGTTGAGTTGTTCAGCGGAGCTTTCGCGAGCTTGGAAAGCACTGCGACCCTGGCGGAGATTCGTGTACGTCTTCTAAGACAACCCCCCATCTGCGGTAGCGGCTTTGTAACGCCAATGTAGGGCTACAAGTTCTCGCTGTCCTTGTCGACGCCGGCGGCCAATGGCCCCGTTCAAAAATGGATAAGCTGCACGCTGCTCTTACTGTGTGGGTGAGCGCCAGGTTGGCCCGAGTAGCGGTATCCATGGCTTGTATGCTTTTGCAAAGAGACACCAAACCTCGTTGCGTTACATAAATAGAACGAGGATTATTGGAATAAGAGTACAATGTCCAACCTGCAGCATTCGCCGCAGGCTGCTTAAATTCTCAAGGAGGTCGCTAACCTTAAGTGTCACAGTCATATGGTTGTCAAGCTACCCTGCCCGCGCAACCATCTAGAAGGCCCTCCCCACGTCTGCCGAAGCGATCGAAGCTCATCTGAAGAACGCCTCGAGTAGCCCAGCACCCTATGTATTACTCTTGCCTATCATATATCTGTACAGGAGGATGCTCCACCAAACACGCCGCCCAAAGTATCCACCAGCACTACCGCCAAATTTACGGGCCGCGCGCCCGAAAGTCCATCCTCAGCCTGACTTGAACAACAATATGGCCACCTGCCCAAGATAGAAGTAGATAAAGTGCTTCGTTTCATGTGTTACATAGGAGCCAAAGTTGCGCCCCACGATGCAGTGCCACGTCGGGTTATGCTTCCGGTCGAACTCCTTCTTGATGTACGCAGCAATGTCCTTCTCAATATTGTACTTCTCCAACGCGCAGGTAGCGCAGTCCACGGCGTCCGCCTGCATCTCCTCAGACATGTCCGCGTTCTTGATAACGGCCTTGGAGCTGCCTGCCGCCATCTTTGTAAGCGTAAGTTGATGAGTTTCTAAGAGAAAGTTTGGGCAAAGTTCAGGTGCGACGAGTATGTGCGACTGAATATCTGAATGGTAATATGTCCCGCGCTCTTAGAACTTTATGGAATTTGCCGTAAGTCGTACTCATGGCCGAACTTCTCGCTGACACACCTACTTGGGCATACAAAGCAGTCTCATGTCAGTTTTTTGTCTGTAGGAACTGGATACTTGAGCAAGCAATGCAATAGCCCGTCGCTGCTCAACGGCATGGACGACTTGGGTTCAGCAGCGAATGCATCGGTGAATATTAGGCCCCACTACGTGCATTACTCTCTATAATGCCACGTTCAGGGGGTAGCAGCCGCAGAATGAAAGCCCTAAGCCCTATACCCACGCCCCGTTTTGACGATGCCACCACCGACGTGCGGTCAACGGAGCAGCCAGTGGTCTTTAAGCTGCAGCTTAGGCCTTTGGAGGATCCAGAAAGCTTCAAGCCCAGCGTCCAGGTACCTATGCGGGCTGGGGGTCGGGGATGGATTGGGGTTGGGATGGGGGGAACCAGGTTCAAAAGTACCATACGGTTAAATGTGCTTTCGTGAGATTGCGGTCGCGCATACATATGCATGAGCACCTACCTGTCCTAGCTATCCACAACGGATCAACTTTTGTATGCGTACAGAGGGTGCGTGTTTCCCGGGGCTGATCCGGTAACTCGGGGGCGGGAGCCGCATGCCGTCGTGCACCAGTAGAACAAGTGCAGAAGTCCACAGTGGTCCGGCATGCGTCATCTCGTGTTTGGGGTTCATCCCGCCCTGCATGCTAAGGAGACGGTTGATTTTCCTATAGCCTGACATAGTAATGTAGTGTGTGGGAAAAGATCGTCTGCGTCCTTGCTTGCGGCTCTTTGAGCTTGGCTTCCATGTTCACGACCACTCACCCCTCGGTGCCGCAGACAGCCAAAGGCACGCAAAACTCAGAACCAGGTCCCCGCTTAGGACGGCGCTGGTGCCCTCGCCACGACATTACAGACCCCACCGAAACCACAACCATGTTAACCACCCGATCAACCACCATAATGGGTAGCGGGTTATGCGCGCTGGAGCTCTCGTTTTCCGTTCCTCCGAAACCACCCGCAGCCATCGGCGTCTTGAAGCGCCTTCACCGAAGACCTCCCGGTGCATCGTCCGCTGCGTGTTTGTCCATATGTATCCACAAAGTGGGCAGGCAGAGACGCTGATGTGGCGGTACTCACCTTCACCCGTCCTCGCTCTGGCCCCCGTCCTTTCCCCCTCTCCCCCTCTCCCCTCCTCATGCAGCTCGTGTCCCGCGAATTTGCAACGCGCTATTTGGAGTCGGTCGGTGTAAGGCCCAGCAAGGCTACCATGGACCTAGTGAACCGCAACGTGCCGCTGACGGAATCCAACATTAAGACGACGCTACGGGTATGTATCGCAGAGGGAGTACGGATGAGGAGCAAGGGGGTTACGGCAGTTGGCGTCGTGGCATGTAGCCAGGGGAAGTTGGGGCAGGCCTCAGGCCGTACATACCTGCCCGCCCTGCCCTTGCCACACATCCCATCACCCACCCTAAACCCCGTGCAACGCGCACTAACCCGCACCGCCGGACCCACTGTCCGGCCCCCTTGGCGGCCCCCTGCACCTCCTCGTAGGCCAAGGGTCATGTGGAGGATGAGATCCACATCAGTGTCCCCTCCGTGACTCACCGCTACCGGGTGCCTGTGGTCATCAACCCCGCGGCAGTGCTGCAGCTAGGCATCGGAAACAGCGTCCTGGGTTCGGCACCGGACGGGCAAGTGGACGCGGAGGTGAGTGGCTGTGGCATAGCGTAGATGTATATCCACATACAACACACAAGAGTCCCCCACCCCCCGTGCTGATACATCCAAGCTGCTGCCTACGTACTCACACAGGTAACACAGGTAACACCCCACCTTCCTTCCCCTCTCCTCCCTCGCCTTTGCCTTCCCGGAATGGGAGGGCTGTCTAGTGGGTTCGTACTCCCTGCCTGAGTTGGTGGGATTGGCTGCACCTTGCTGGAGACCGCTTCCGCCTGTATGCAGATGAACCAATTTGGCCTAGGTGCTGGGGCTAGAGCAGCCTAGCACCTGGGGCTCGGGCGCGTCTCCTTCCCGCGCACACAGCCGAGGCCCGCGTCTGCCTGCCCGCCCGGAATTGCAACCCTTTTGACTTATATCCCGCTGGCCCCGCTGCCCCCGTCTCGTGGCTCCTGCTTCTAATACTCCTGCTGTCTTACTCCCCATGCTCCTCATACTGCCATACCACAGGGCGGTGCGGGTTCCTCGGAGGCGCTGGAGGACCTCTTCAGCGGCCGGCCGTACGACCCCACTGCCGCCGGTCGATCCCCCGGCGGCACCGATTTCCTAGGCATGGCGTCCAAGTACCTGCACCCATTCAACCTCGACCTCTCACTCGCGCGGAAAAACCTGAGCGTCCTCCACGCCGCGTCGCGCCAAAGGCTTTCGCCCGGCGGCGGCGCTGAGGGCGGGGCCGGCCCTGACGGCGCTCTCAACGGGGGCCCGAGCACAGGCGGCAACAGCAGCGGCGGTGGCGGCCGTGGCGTTGGTGGCTGTACGGCTGGCGGGCTTGGCGGAGGGAGCAGCTTCGGAGCGTCTACGTCGGGACGTGGGATTGGTGGCGGCGCGTCGTCAGGGTTATTGGAGGGCCGCGGCGGCGGCGGGGGGGGATTGAGCAGCCGTAGCAGTTTCGCGGCCAGCAGTAGCCGGCGGTCGGGGTCGTGGCCTCACAGCAACAGCGGCCGGCTGTTGGAAGAGGGGGCGGGGGTTGGCAGCGCCGGGGGCCCACTCGATCCGTCGCGTCTGGAGCTGTTGGAGGAGCTGGCGCAGCCGCTGCTGGTCACCCCGGAAGTGGTGCTCACTTTACAGGTACAAGACGTGTGACGTGCGCAGTACGGACGAGTGCAGTACGGACATGTGCAGTACGGACGTGCGCAGGGCGCTGCTAGGAATCTGGGAGGTGTTGAGAGGGGACATGGCGCATGTTAGACCACATGGATTGTAATTGGGTACTGGGGAATGCGCGAGAATCACCTCGTAAGGGGAGTCGTAACCTAGGCATTAGCGGGGGTGTGCGAACAGCGGGCAGGGCCTTGGGGGCCCAGGTATAGGCCCGCCTGCCTGGCCACACAGTCTCATTCCACTAATGCTGCTGCCGCTCCTGCCGCCGCCCTCCTGCCATTGCCCTCTGCAGGGCCAGCTTGAAGCTGCTCTGGCGGACTGGCACCGGCACCAGGCTCCGGAGGCGCTCAAGGGGCGGCTGACGACTGAGGAGTTCAACCGCACGCAGGAGGAGCTCAGCAGCGAGGGGATGGTGAAGCTGCTCATCACGCTGATCAACTTCCTGCATGAGGAGCTGGTTCGGGGACACCCCTCGTACCCGGCCCAGCAGCAGCAGCAGCAGCACAGCAACGCCGCGAGGTGGGTCGGGAGGGCACGAAGGTCCCCTTGAATGGGGGTTGGTCACGGGGTATAGCGGGTGCGGGAAGGCAGGGGGATGTTGATTGGCACTACGACAGAAGACGAGGAGGAGGAGGAGGATAGGCAGGGGAAACTCTGGCGCCTCCTGTCTGTCTGTCTGTCTGTCCTCGTGCCTGCAACTTCGTTTACCGGTTTGCTGGTCCCCCTCTCCACCGTTATGGTGCGGTGCGGCTCCAGATGTGTGTGTGGGCCGGTCCGCCTGTACGGTGCGGTATGGTGGGGTGGGGTGGGTGGGGTGTGATCGCCTCGTGATGCTTCTGTACGGTGCTCCGCTGCCGATGCTGGTGATCATGGGGACCACTGATGATGCCGGTGGTCATGTGGTATTGCTGCTGCTGCTGCAGGGAGAGCTCCAGAACCAGCGGACTAGCGGGCGAGCGCAGCTCGCAAATGCACAGCGGCGGCGGCAGCGGTGACGGCGGGGGCGGCGTCGTTGGGTTAACAAGTCGCCGCAGCCATGCCGGTAGCGTTATTTTTCGCAGTGGCACACAACTACCCGCCACCATCAGCATCCAGCAGATGACGAACCTACAAAAGTACGATCTGGGATACCAGGCATATGTACGGCAGAAGCTGGAACAGCGCCAGGCGCAAGGCACGGCGGCGGGCGTCGCCGAGAGCAGCGGTGGCCGCTCCGAAGGCAGCGGTGCAGCCGGCGGCAGCGGCGGCGGCAGCCGCTCGCATCCCACCACGCCACCTGACTCCCGCGGCGCCTCCCGCGGTGCAGGCGCCAACCCAGCAGGCGACCGGCTGGTAGCTAACAACACCAACACCAACAACCCGAACTCCCAGGCCCATGCGCAACCGCAGCCTCAGCGGCAGCAGCCGCGCCCTCAGTCGCAATCGCCGCCGCAGTCACAGTCACGGCAGTCGCATCGCCCCCACTCCACGGTGGCGGACACCCAGCGTGTGTCCTTCGCCGTCAGCCCGCTCAACTCCTCGCATGCTGGCACCCCCCAGGCGGGCAGCCGGCCGGAGTCACCTGGGCACTACGGCAGCGCCGCCTCTTCCTCCCTCTTCGGCCCCCTCAACCTCCCGTCGTCACGCTCCCGACCCAACTCCAGCCACCCCACCACGCCCGGTTCTGCCAATCGCAGCCATCGCAGCGCCTCTCCTAATCCCAGCACCGCCACAACCAATGCCAACGTCGAGACTTCGGACCCGGCGCTTCCTATCCCGGGCCTACCGCCCCATGTAGGACGAGCGTTGCGTTCCAGTCCTTCCTTCGCCCTCGCCGCTGCCGCTAACACCGCGCGCTCCATACACGCTTCCTTGGATGCTGCCGACATGGCGGCTCTACAGCGCGAGAGGCTCTTCGCGTTGCACGTCGACTTTGCGAATCGTTTCAAGGTGCTGCGGCAGAAGCGCTCCGGCATGTTTTTCACCTTGCCCATCTTGCTGCTGTCCATGCGCCTGTGCATCAACCTGCTGTTTAGTACGTTGTATCCGTTGTGGACGCGGCAGTCGGAAGGGGCTGAGGTGCTCGAGCAAATGGATTCGTTGCTGTGTGCGCTGTTTGATCCTCACGGCTACCTGGAGCGTGCGCTTAGCTTGCTGCAGAGCACACCGTCGGCCATCGAAGCCGTGACGCGCCACCCGCAGCGTCGCGGCAACGAACGGCGGCACTTCTACGACACCAGCCCGCTAATGCAGGCAACGCTTCAGGGACCCAAGTCGTCCGGTGAGTACGGATCCGTATTGCATGTTGCAGCGCCGTACAATGTCGTGTAATGCTGTAATTGGCGGCGATGAGCTTATATGTGTGTTTCAGCTGCTGCGGCGGCTTTGAGATTGGTATTGGGGTTGAGTTGTAGGGGAGGTATGGGCAGCGTGAAAGGGTGGGCGTTGCCTGTCATCCCCTTGAAGAAATGCCCGGCATGTGTGCCCGGGCTTGCCTCCTGTCCGATGTCCCCTACTGTTCTTTCCGTCATCCAGTTCATGATGCCATAATGCATATCGGCATCAATATCGGCATGCTGACGTTGGGGAACCTGAGCTCGCGCGTGTGTGTGCGTACGTTTCACCTTCTGGAGTCGTGTTACCCTGGTGCAATGGGTCCGTACGAGCCCTGAGCGGGCCCAAGAGCCAGATAAGGGTTGACAGGTGTGATGTGTGATGACATCTCATTGCCCGCGTCACCGCCCAGTCCTCAGTGCTCGGTGCAAGGTCCCACATAGTTGTTCCTCCCGCTCCCTGCCTGCCTGCCTACTGGTCTGCCCGCCTGAGTTCTTGTCTGTCCGTCCGTCTGTCTGCCTGCAGGTGCTCGCAAGCTGATGGCTGCAACGGCCAACCAGCCCCAAGGTCTGGGCCTTATGCGTACGCAGCTAACCACGGAGCAGCGCGCGTCCCTCTTTCAGATGGGCCTGCAGTGGATGCATCAGCCTGACCCGGTGCTGTCGCAGGTCGGGGAGCCGCACGCCGTGGGGCGTCTGTAGCGTAGAGATGATTGAATACTGGGACGCACTATCTGTAAACACCCATATTCTTGTAAGGAGCACCAACCCTGTGGCCACCATGGGCTTTTTCCGCCTTGCGGCTGGGGGTGTTTTCCCTCCCCGATCTCGCACGCGTGCCTGCAGCCGGCGGCGTGATGCACGTGTTTTTCCTCCACGCTGCTCAAGAGGGCGCGGCCCATGCATGAATCGAACAGGCCAGGGAGAAGATCGCGGGCAGCTGCTAATGGGTGCGCGTGGTGATAATTGGCAGATCCTGTGGCAGGGGATGACGGAGCTAGAGAAGCGGAGACTGTGCATTTGTATACCGGGGCTGTGCATTTGTATATGCAGTTAGAGACGTAGGTAGTAGACCAGAGGCGCACATTCGCCTGGGTGCGGTCATACATAGTGCCAATGCATGTCGCAATTTTGCGATGTCCTTTTGTGAAATCTGAATCGCAGTCATGATTATGTGCCCGGGACACGATGCAGCACTCGCATGGGTAAGCCAGTGGATGACTGCTGCGTGGTGTCTAATAAGGGTTAGTGTGGCTGGTGCGAAGAGAATGCCTCCCGGTGCGGTTGTTTGCACTGGTTTGTTTGCTAGAAACAAGAGTCGCAAGCATGTGCTTTCATGCGGAATCTCGGCGAAGTTATCCTCGCCCAACAGCTCAATGGCAAACTGATTTATGCTGAAGATGCTGAACCTAGCCCTAGCAGGGCCAAAGAGACACGCTTGCATGGTGCTGCATGTGTCGTTAAAATGTCCCCACTGATGCGCAGGTTTAGCCCCAAAACCACAGGTCGGCCTTATACGGTGTTAATGTACTGCAGGACGTGCCTCCCTAATGTTACAGCTCCATGTTGTACTCCATGGCGACCGGCATTGCGGTCGTAACGGGAGGATTCTCTACGATAAGAAGGAATTAATATTGTTGTTGTTGTTATTACATGGTCGTGGGTGCGTTCCCCGTACCTGCAAACCACCCTAATACGAGCCGAGGGCTCAAGGGCTGCCAGATCGCCTATAAGCACCATCCTACCTCGCACTTCCAACGAAACAAGTGATGAAGATACTAACGACCAAAGGGAACGATAGAGTTGCGGAATTAATATGCATGACGTGATTGTCCTGCGAGCGCAGTAAGGGACAACGCGAGCCCTCTGGCCCATTCCCCGTGCAACCTGGGTCAGGGACGTGGGAGGCGAAACGTGTGCGTGACATTCAAAATTCTTTCTCCCCCGTTTTCAGCGAGTGTGCGTTTTGCAACGCTCCGAGGCAATCAAAGTCGAGTTATCTGTGTTGGATTTCCCTGCAGCCTTTTCTCTTGCCTCCGGCCCGGCCTATGCCTGCCGCAGGCTGGTGCTGCTTGGTCCCTCGATCCAAAGCCGCGCTGCCGGCATTGGCAGGTGCGACGCCTGTGCTCCCCTTAGAACTGTGAAGGCATTGCCGGCATGCGGACGTGGCATAGGCAGTTGGTGGCACAGCACTTGGCACGGGGGCTTCCCGAGATGGTGTGGGCTGCAGGTGAGCTGGATGCCCTGCGCCAATTTGCGCTTAGGGTATGAAATGGACAGGTCATTATTCCATGCTTCACGTGTTTCGCACAGTTACGGAAGCGCCCTATTGTCATGCCCTACTGTCAGCTTCTTACACCAATCAGATTTTTGAGACCAGTATTACGGAGTGATAAATAAGATGGTATACAGATACCCATTCTACGCTGTTGCAATTCCTCAGCACAGCGCATGATTGACCATAGAGCTTGACCAATCGAGCAGTATATCTAGATTGTAAGGTGCAAGATAGCGAAGACGCTTTAGGAGCCCCGGGCAGGAGACCTGAAGCAATGAAGGAAGCGTGTCTATGACAAGTGTGTTTGTATTACAAATTGTACGTGCAAAAAAATCGTTGCACGCAAGGCTCCTCGATTATGTAGAAATGGTTGCAGGGTTTCCTGGAGAGGTGTTCACACGTAGACCTGATCCTCTTGTAAGGTCCCTGTCGTATCGTGTCTGTAAACGGTGCCAACGTCATGTGTCGCCTTTGCTCTGTCGTGTCCGTAACTGGTAAGGAAAGCACAGCAAACTTACCAGTTATTAAGCACAAAAAATATCAATACAATGCCGTAAACTTACGCAGCCTCAAGTTTGTCCTGTAATGGCCATGGCGGTGCGGCCGTGCACTCTGAACCTGGACGCACTCAGGGCTGCCCTTGGATGCCTCCTCCTAAGCGTTCAGGCCAGAACAGCTTCCACTGCACTACCGTGTGGTGGAGGTTGGGCGGTTCTGCTTGGCAAAGACTGGGGATTCGCAACTGCGATAGCGTTCCACGTAGGCTGGCTGCTATCCTCTAATTTTGGTGCATGGCCAAGCAGGTCATTTTGCTGCGCTTCTCGCGTGGCCCCAAAGGTCTTCCTGCTTGCGCAGCTTGTGGCACAGCGTGCTATTCCAGCAACTGGCGGGTGGTTCAATGAAGCTTGGGATCAGCGATCCAGGTTATGCTGGAAAGCTATGGCGGAAGTTTTCGTTTACACAAGCGGAGAGGTACGCCAGCCGTGCACTACAGCACTGCAAACGGCACCATTTATAAAGTTTTCTTTGCAATACTTTTGCAGCTTCCACCTATTATGGTGTTGCTGGTCGCGGCGCTTGACACTGCCTGTACGGTGGCCATATGGGCGCGCGTGTACGTGCTGGAAGGCGTGCACCCTGCGCCCGCAGCGGCCGTAGCACACGTGCTATTGAGATTGTTGCTATCACTTTGTGTGCATTACTGCCAAAGGCGCGCAAACTTTGGCTGGGCTCGGGACCTTTTCTCCTCCTTGTGGCCCGAGCCGTACCAGGCAACGAAGGATGATTCAGCCTACGACATCCTGCGCTCCAACACGCCCGTGCACAGCTCTCTCTTGTGCTGCAGCAACCCGGCCTTGCTGTCGAATATTGTGGCGACATCTGGCCAGGTAACACGATAAATACAGTCCGGACGCAGTGCCCACTTGCTCCTGGCACAGGTTGAGCGTACTTGAGGGGTGTGGTCTCGCTTGCGGCGGGGACACGAGGTCCTCATTCATGTCAACAACCTTCACCCCGTGTGTGATGCACAACCACCCACAGGATTTGGAGCCAGTCCGACTGGAACGCCTGAGCTCCTGCCGCGTTGCCAGTGTGGTCATCCCACAACCGCCATGGAGGCAGGTCGCAGCGGCTGAAGGAGCGGGAGCGGGGACGGGGACGGGGACGGCAGCATCATGCGGAGCCGTGGGGGGCATGGAAGCCTATGAGCTGGCCCTCCGGTTGGTGTCCAGTGCCGGAGCCAGCGGCTCTGCCAGCGCCGACGGTAGCACCTACACCTCCGTAACGCAGAAGGTCCGCGTGAGCGTGAAGATACCAGACCGCTCGCCAGAGGACCTGGCTCCTGGCTGGGACACCGACCTGCAAATCAACGGCCAGCGTCGCGCGTTAGTGCTGTTTACGTACATCAGGCGAGGCTGCATCCAGCTTATCCTCGACCTGCTTGGCCCGGGGGCTGTAGTACCAGCGCTGCCCGGAGGTACTGCACAGGCACGTACCGGCGACGGCGCCACGCGTCCTGCGGCAGCCATTATAAATGGTGATGAGACGCCGCTGCCGCGCTCCGAGGAAAGCGCAACCAACACAGCCGGTCTGTTCCCTGGGGGAAACGCTGTCGGCTTGAAACCTGCCTGCCCTGGTTCGCAGCTGCACCTTGGCAGCACCGTGACCGACAACAGTCAGATATTGAGCGTGGGAGCTGAGGACGGGAGCAGCGTACGGGAGCTGGGCGGTATGTCGCGTCCTGGCAACAAGCTGACCGAGCAGCAGCCCTGTCCTGGGTCCCTTTCTGGAGCGGTGCAGCCCCAGGCAGCGCCCGGTGGCGTTCACGACCTACTGCTCAGCACCATCTGCAGGGAGTCATTATTTGCGGGGCGCAGTTTGACACTACAAGTGGGCGCCACTGCGACCATGGTGCAGATACAGCAGGTGAAGCCCGAGGACGATGGGTGTGCAGCTTGTGGTGTGCGACGGAACAGCCGGCTGCAGGAGTTGGCTGTGACGGGCCCGGCACTGCCACTGCCGCCCGACGTGCGCATCTGGCAGCAAGTGGTCTGCACGGCCAACACGTGGTCAGCGCTTAGCTGGGACACGTGGCCGCTGCCCTGGCGGCGTCCGCAGCGGCGGAGGGAGGTAGTATTGGCGTGCACGTGGGGCACGGGGATTGAACATAAGGATTCTCCTGCTGAGGGGTTTTTGGTAGAGGAGCCGCCGCGTAAAGCTCCGGAGTTGCAGCTGACGGTCCGGCAACAGGGCCGCTTCCTGCCGGTAGGGCTGGTGGCGGCAGCTGGCGCGAGGGGGTATGGCGCGGAGCGGCGTTCCCTCCGCACAGCCCTGGCGGCGGGAAACGTGGTGGCTGCCGTCGACACCGCTTTAGGTGGGGCTGTAGCAGCGGGTTCGGAGGGGATGGCGACTACGCAGCAATGTTCGCCTCTCCCTAAGGCGGACAGCATTGCGCGTCATGACGCGTCGCCGTACCTGTTGGCTTTCACACTGTCGAACAGCAATGGTTTAGCGCATGTGGAGCTCTCCAGGGGGGGTGTGCACAGCGCGACGGCGGCGTGTGTCTTGCTGGTATCCAGCCCCACTATCGCACACGAGCTAGAGCAGCTGCAGGCAGCTGCAGGCGGTGGGCTGGGCTTGGACTATGCGCCGCGGCCCTCGGTATTTACAGATCTCATTCGGGATTTCGGCACCCTCTTGGACATAGTACCAGCCTTAGCCGGCTGCGAGGAGGGCACTGTTGCCAACAGTACCGCCGACGGAGTCGCCACGTGCAGCCAGCCTTTGATTGAGTGGTCGTTGGCTCCGCTCGGCGATACGGGGATAAGCGTGCCCGTGCCCACGCGCGTGGGCTTCCTGCGCCCGCGGCTGCACAGGTGCACCGATGGTGGCTCTGCTGCTGCCCGCGGCTTGGAAGGCATGCAGCGCGGCGGAGCAGCTCCTGCGCGCGCGGGCACAGCTGGTGCTGGTGATCTAACTGACGGTGGCTGCGTCACTGCTGCCGACGTAGATGACCTGGAGGAGTCACTAAAGCGCCGCGCCCTGATGTTGGCATCTGTGGGATGCCGGGTCGGCCTGAACCTGCTGCACTACTTCGTTTCCTCAGGGATGGCGGCCTGCGCGATCCGCGTGCTGGACATCCTGCACCATCAGTTGGGGGTTCCCGCGCAGTTGCTGGCCGGCTCTGACTGCTGCCACGAGCGCATGACGCTGATGCACCACGCGGCTCGCAGCGGCAGCTTCCAAACAATAGCAGCTGTGGTAACTTGGTTAGAGGAGCACGGCATAGATCCTGCTTGGGACAGCATCAATCCTACCGGTCTTACGCCACTGCATTTGTTGGTGGTGGCGCCTGACAGCCAGGTCTTAGGGACGCTGGTGCAGCTGCGGTGGCCCGGCGCACGTCGCGCCTGGCATGGCAGCACGGCGGGCAACTGCACTCCGGCGCAGTTTGCAGCGATGGCCAGGGAGGAGACGCCCTGCTGGTGGCAGCGCGCCGCGAGCAGCTCGGCGGTGTTGTGGCTTGTGGGCGGGGCCTGGTGCGGCCTGTCTAGGGCGTGCGCATGCTTGGTGCCGAAGCGCTTGGTCCGCGGCTTGGAGGGCATGGTGGCGCCGGGCTTTATATTGCCCTCCCTGGAGTCCGCGTATGCGGCATGGCTACACCGCCGCGTGGTTTTCACGGACCTCCTCTTCCTTGCCCTGCACACAGCGTACAGTGTGACGCAGGCGGTGAAAGGCGGCTGGGCTTTTTTCACGCAGCACGTGGCAGGCCTTATCCTGCTGGCGGTGCGGCTGGGCCTCTTGGCGCTCCAGTGGCAGCTTTGGGACGTGTTGCAGCGGCGGCTGATATGGCTGGGTCTTTGCAATAGGGCCATAAAAGCTGCCAAGGAGGGGCAGGACGATGCGAGCAGGCGTAGAGGTAACGCCAGTAGCGGCAGCTTCGGCAGGCAAGGCCGAGGAAGGCTGCAAGTGCCGCGAGAGGGCGCCGCTGTGATTATGGAGCTGGTGCGCATGGTGCTGATGCTGATGATAGTGGCTGGGGTGTTACCCTTGCCGGAAAGCTGGTACGTGCTGCCTTCGGGGCACAGTCCCGGAATTGGACAGCCAGGTCACGTGAAGAACACACAGATGTGGACATTTTTGCGATAGCTGCGCGAGTGGGTCGCTGTGCTGCACTAGCAGGAGTCGTGCGTCAAGGCCCCTGCCGGCGTCCTCTAGCCACGTCACAGAATCTTGTTCGTTGGCAACAGGGATGTGGCGGCAAAGGCAATGATGTCCCCTGATACGCACAAAAGGCGTGAGCACGCCATACTCGGCCGATGGTGCAAGGGAAGGAGATTACTCCTATATTTGAGGCCATGCCTGCCTTGCAACGGACTGCTCGTTTACCCCCCATCTTCCGCTGTACTGTTTGACATCCCCGCAAGCTGCAACCCCGGTGTATCCAAAACATCTTATGTCGAATGTCTGCATGCAGGGCGCGGCTCGTGCAGCTTCGTTTGGACTTCATCATCAACATCATTATGCGCCCCGCCGCCGGCCAGGTACGCTTCCATCCTGCATGTCTGTCCGTTTTTCCCGCTGTGTCTGCTGCACAGCTTCAAGATTGCTTTAGCTTGAGGCCGGTTAACGAGCGCAGCATGCTTATGCCTCTGCGCGGACTTGGGAAGAGAGTGTGCCTAAATGTCTTGAACGATCGCATGGAAGCGGAGCAGGATTATAGCGGCCGCCGCCGTTGCTGTCGTTGTGATCCTTTCGTTTGCAGAGAGTACTGTTTGCGTCACCTTGGCCGCAGATGCGTGTACTTCCGAGCGTCGTCGCCTCTGCTATCGCACTTGTTGGGGAGGCCGCGATTACAACCTACATACTCTGGCAACCTGGCGTGTGGGTGGCATGGAGCTTGGCGCTGGCTGTCGCCCGTGGTGTCGTCACGCATGGGTTAGGGCTTTGCCTGACCATATTACTGCAGAGATCTGCCCGATGCCGTTTCTTAGCGGAAGTCTGTGGACTGGGCAAGGGGTTACACGGTACGAAGTAGACGCACGTTACGATGATCCTCAAGAAAGTGGAAAGGCAGCCTGGGTACTTTAGCAGGATAAGGACTGAAGCTTGGACGTTGGCCGGAGGACATTGGAGCTGTTTAATTATGTGAGGGGGGTATTATGTCGTTGAAATGGGAGTGAAGCAGACCAAAAGGCCGTCGACTCTTATCGTACGCAAAGGATAGGGACGCATATGCACGTGTTATTAATCGCGAACTTCGCACTCGTAATTGTGGCTGTGGTGATACAGTATGGTTTAGTGGGCAGGTCTGCTGTTTTTTGAATTCCTGTTCGAGGGTGCTGTTGCCACACCCGCTGGGCCTGGAGACGCCCTTGGCCATTGCTTTGCGGTTGCAGGACCCCTGTGTCGGGGAGGCACGTTGTTGATCGGAAGGGAAATAATCAGTCTTTGTCGCACAAATGGTTATGTAATTGATGTATCGCAACGGCGGACTTAAAGCATCGTCGTAGTGGACGCATCGTCGAGGAGCTGTCGGGGGATGAAATTGAGGGGTTTGAAAATCGCATGAGCCCCTATTATAAATACGGCTATATTGTTTATTAAACATAAAATGAACGTGCTTGAGTTACATGATGTGCGCTAGACTTGGTACCGTGCCCACCATGTAACTGGCGTGACCTTTGGTATGTGCCAATTGCGGCGACTACTAGTGCTTCTATGCACAGCCCTGCTACAGTTTCTAGGATGGAAATGTGGCGCCGCTGTGCAAAGAGGCTTCTGCCGGCCAGATGTTCCTGGCTGTTGCCCCAGTGTTGTAGATCACGTCCTCCTCCTCCATATTGAGAAGACAGGGGGGACATCCTTGCGGACTTTCCTACAATCAGCAGTCAAGCGGCGCTTCCGGCAAGGTGCACTTTGCAACTATTTAAAGTACGTCGGCCTCGACTCAGCAGCGCGACTAGCTATAAATGATGGACCAATGCGTTTGTCTTCATATCCCTATTTGCAATTGAGACTCGCCCTTAAAACATGTGTTGGCAGCTGTCGATGGAAATTCGTGTGCCGATTTCTTTGCAGTGTGCACAACTGCTGCGAAATTCAACTTCTAATTACGATATTCCTAAGCTTGATGGAAGTAGGGTTGCGAAGCCTTGCGGATGTCTTAGGTAGAGCTTTGGACAGGCAACATTCCATCCGCCCCTTGGGACGTGTTGACCATGTGCGGCTGAGGTTCTCCCCGCCACATAGCAATCCATTCGAGAGAGAGCATGGCAGAACAGCTGGCACGCACGTTCCACACGGGGCATTCGAGCTGTGTCCCTTGCTTACACCATGCTCGCAGTCCCTCGCCTCCTTCCTTTCCATGCATGTATCACCCGGCGGGCCCAGGACTGGCGCCGCTGGGCTTGTTGGCCTGTCTTTACGGCCTCGTTGTACAGCCGCTCGGATAAAGCGCGGCACTAATGTGTCCCATGTGTCCTATCTTTCTCTGCCCGCACGCTCAGGTACATGCCTTACCAGTGCCAAGCGAGCAGCTCGGCAGGCGGCAACGCATCTTGCAACGCCAAAAACTTCCAATACTACGAGCGGGCTATATCCACAGGGACGCACTTCCTTCGCGGCTGCAAGCTCACGTCTAGTCACCACGATTTCCGCATCATTGATGCGCTGCCGCCCCACGTCCGCAATACCACCCTCCTCATTGTGAACCTGCGTGAGCCCGCCAGCCGCGCCGTGAGCCACTTCCACATGCTGCGCCGCCATCAAGACCCGGGGGCCATCAACTCCACTGTCATTGACTACTTCCTAGGCAACCCCATGGGTGTGTCCATCTCTCGCAACCGCATGACACGAGTACTTGCTGGCGAGTTTTGCTGCAAGGACGGTGCGCCGGTCTCCTACGATAACCGGGAGCTGTTGGAGCGCGCGGTAAAGCGACTGGACCAGTTTTGCGTGGTGGGGCTGACCAGCCGCGTGCAGGACACAATGCTGTATGTGCAACACACGTTGGGGCTAGGCACCGAGCGGACTCCCAAGAACCTCCATTACCACAACAATGCCAAGAAGTACACCCCGGTGGATGACGAGGTGCTGCAGCGGCTGCAGGAAGCAAACGCATTAGACGTGGAGCTGTATAGGGAGGCAGAGCGGCGCTTTGGATTGCAAATGAAGAGCATCAGCAGGGATGAGGCTGCCACGGCCGGTGAAAGCGGTGACGGTTAATAGGATTACCAAAAGCCTTCAACGCCTGCCTCGCTGCGGATTCGCATCTTACCTTCGTTGAGTCTTCTCTGTAACATAAATCATAATGGATGACTGCGTATCACGTATGGTAGGCAGTCCGGCGCAAGCTTACATGTGCTTTCAGGATGACATGTTGAGCATTTCGCAGTGTGCGCGTCGAGCTGACCACGCCAAACGTCCGGTTACCTCCTCACCACCCACTCCTCCGTGGGTAGGGCTTGTCAGCATGCATTCCTGCACTCCAACCCCACTTAACCCACGAAGCCCAACAAGAAAATCATGTAGCCCCAGTTGAAAGGCCCCACCGACTAATGAAATATCCGCTGCTGCCTTGCCGGTCGACCCTTCTATTCCAGCTTTCGCAGCTGACCGTAAAAAATGCAGCATTATTTGTAACAGCGCCTGATCGGTTCAAGTGTTATTGCACACACTGAGCAGCAACAGTTCTGCAATTGGAGTCTTAATCCGACATCACCGGTATAGGCCCAGCCGCGCCCTCACAGAGGCCTACCGCCCGCAGCAACGCGCGCGCTTTGAGCCGCATTTCATCATACTCCGCCTCCGGCTGGGATTGAACCACGATGGCACCCCCAGCGCCGATAGTCATGGTGCGGGTCTGTGGGTTCGGCGGCCGTACACCCATCGGGGTTGCTGGCACGGACATGCCGTCACCAGCTAACGACGCAGGCGGAGGGTGAGGATGCAGCTCCTCAATGACCGCGGTGCGAATGACAATGTTCAGGTCGAAGGTGTCGTTAAAGGATATGAAGCCGATGCTACCAGAATAAATGCCGCGCGCCCGGTCTTCCAGCGCATCAATGATCTGCATAGTCCGAACCTTCGGGGCGCCTGCAGAGGGGAGACAACAGTGCGGTAGCAGCAACGAAGTTTGAAACAAAGAAGCAGCAGCAGCAGCAGGAGAAGACGTGGGTTCAGGCCTCCACGTGGATGCTCGGAACGGCACACGGCAACCTTTTTATATTTCCAGTGGAGTGCCTAACAAATGGTACATTTCTCTCATGTTGAGGACGCGAGCTGTAGGTGTCCCGCGCCGAAGGCCACGCACAGCTCGAAAACGCCACACTACGTCCGATGTCCTTACATTTCCCCTCAAGGAGGTTTATAAACATGTCCTCGTGTCAACCAGCAGGCCAGCGCGCAATGCTGCCCGGAACCCCAACCCTGGAACCCACCCGTCATGGAGCCTCCGGGAAAGGCAGCCCGGATGCAGTCGACAATGGACACGCCAGCACGCCGTACACCGCGTACAGTAGATACCATCTGGTGTACGGTTGCGTACGACTCGATGTCCATTAACCCGGGAACATGTACGGATCCAACCTGGGAAGAGGCCGAAATCGACGCCACGTTACACCCGCCCAAAAGTTTGGTGGACGTAAGGAGCTTGGAAACGTATTGCACCGCAGGCACACTTTGCATCGCCGAATGTTTTTGGCATTGCAATTAAAGACATCACCACTCGGCCCCACACCCCACAATAGTGGCTATTGACTGTCCGTGGCCCCCCCCCTTTCGCTTTTACGCACAGTCCCCGCATTTGTGCGGAACTTGTAACTTGCAAGTAAAGCGAGCAGGCTGCCGTGCAGCACTGCACCGCACAGTACTGCACCCGTCCGACGCCTCACCTCGCACACGCGGCCCAGGTCATTGCGCAGCAGGTCCACAATCATGAGGTTCTCGGCGCGCTCCTTCTCCGAACTGGCCAGCTTCGCGGCGGCAGCGGCGTCGGCCTCGGGGTCTGTCGCGACGCGGGCCGCAGTGCCCTTGATGGGCCGGGCTTCCAGCAGCCCCCCGCGGTCGCCGCGGAGGAAGCGTTCCGGCGAGGAGCAGCAGACGGTGGGGCCTGCGCACCACCACCAACAAGCAACCCATGCAAGCAGACAACCCGGTGGGCAAGGCGAAGATATGAACATGTCGGCTCTTTGCGCACCGGAAGAGAAAGCACCTCTCCCTGGACGCACACGCGCGCCTTGTAGCGGCACAAGGCTTTACTGGTAACAACGTGCAAGTAGTCGAAAAAGCGTGGGGCACACAAAGAAACAGTTTGCCCACAGTTTGCTCCCAGAAGGCCCAAGCGAAGGCCTATTGCATTTCTGTTTCACCAATCACCAATCCCTCCACCATTATAATTTACCCGCCCTGTCCGACCTGCTTGGTCCATCCCTCGACTACAAAACAACGCCTACCGCATCGTAACGTACCTGCGGCGCCGCATTGCAGCCAGGCGGCGTAGGGTGCAGGGTTGAGTTGCCGCAGCGTCTTGTAGAGCTGGTCCGGCCTGGGTGCCGCACCCCGTGTGAGCGCAGTGGTAAGGCACACCTCGTAGCTCTCCCCCGCATGGAGTGCTGCGTGGCAGGCTGCAATGTTCTGAAGGTAGGCGGTGCGACCGTGTGCCAGGGTGAATGGCATCATCCTAGCCGTAACAGGGGCACTGGCCGCCTCTGCTGCCGCTTGTTCCAAAGGATTGTCCGGATTGCTGTCTGCCTTCTGAGTTCCTAGCTGCTGCTGCTGCGGCAGCTGCCTGCTGCTACAGTGCGACGAACCCAATGCGTCGTTTGTCAGGGGGCCAGAGAGGCTTGAGGGACATGCCTCTGCACCAACACCATCATCCGTAGCACCTCTACCACATGTCCCAGCAGGCTGTGCACAAACTCCAGCACCTTCCCCACGTGCAACCCATCTGCCGCCTTGCGAGCACGGACAACCTGGCGACGGTGAGGAGGGCAGGTTCGCAGCAGCTGGCGTCGACCCAACCTGCTTCTGTGGGCCCGCTGCAGTCTCCGTCTGCTCCACCGCCGCCTCAAGTGCCCGCCGCGTCGCATCCAGCCACGCCTGCGCCTGCACTTTCTGTTGATTGCTGTTGCCCACCCCGGCGTTGCTAGCAGGGCTACGTTCCACCACACACTCCGCGACCTCACTCTGGCTCAACTTCCCCCAGCCCGCTTCTCGCAAAACCCGTCTCCCTCGGGAATCTGCGTCGCCTTCAACAAATCCATCGCCCTCACTGCCGTCACCGTCATTGCCAGCGGCCGCGGCGACGGCGGCGCTGTCGTACACCGCCATCAAGAAGACATCTCCCGTCGCATGGTCCACCGCAATCAGTCGATCCGCCAGGTACATCACGGCGTCAGGCGTGGCGGCAGCGTGCGCGTTGGCGGCCCCACACTCAGCCTTCAGCTCGTAGCCCAAATAGCCCACCAGGCCGCCCCAGAAGTTGAATGGCAGCTGCGCCGCAGCCTCCGCTTCCACCAGCAGCCGCTGGCGATCCAGCAGCATCTGCAAGAACGACAGGAAGCCGGACGGCGCCGCCAAGGGTATAGCGCGGCCCTCGGGGCCCTCTATGGTGAGGCTCCCACCGGGGCTGCCGGATGCCAGCCCGGCTGCTGCGCCGGTTTCTGGCAACGCGGCGGCGGCAGCTGGTGTGGTAGTGTGGGTCCCGACGGTGTAGCAGGAGGTCGATGAAAACGAGGAAGAGGAGGAGGAGGCGCTGGCGATTGAGCCGGCCCCGCAGCTTGAGGAGGGGGAGGAGGCGACGGCTGCGGCAGCGGCAGCGGCAGCGACTTTGCACGACGTTGCGCTGCTGGTTTGGTCGCCGGATGAGCCGGGCTGGCGGTCCTCTGCGCCCAGCGACATGGATGGATTGCTGTTGTTCGCACCGTCGCTGCCCGCGGGCTGCAAGTGCGGCTGTGGCATGGGCGCATTTGGGGTTGATGGCGGCGGTAGCTTGTATGTGAACTTGCGCCAAAGCGGGCCTCCCCGACCGCCCATGTACGAGAAGCGGCCCCGGTCAGCGGCAGCACTGCACAGGGACACATGAGTTGTAGCGACAGGGGGTGAGACAGGACTCAGGGGTATCCTTTGACAGGACTCAGCCGGACGCACAGGTAGGCGCAGCGCTGCATCGCTGTAACAAGGGCCATCTCGGCAACACAGAGGGCACCGACAGGCCGGTCCTAGCGGCGCCGGGGCTGCCTCAACAACCCTCCATGCCTTGTGACAAAACCCTGTTGGGGGCCAGCGTTGAGCCGCATCCCTTACCTCGCTTCCAATACAATACATACAGGGACTGAGTGTACGCGGCACGTCAGCGGACGGCGTCCCATCCAACGCAATATAGCATGTCTACATGCCGAGCCAACATCATTCACCTGTCCAGCCAAAACGTGTCCTCCGCCCAGCCGTAAAGCAACTCAAAAATAGCCTGGCTTCCGCCCTGCAGTCGCGGCAGGAAGGTGGCCAGCCTGGACCACAGCAGGCGCAGGGTCGCGCCGCGTTGGTGCTCCGGCGGGGGCCAGGCTGGCAGCGCCGGCAGCGCGCCTGGGGGCCCCCGGATGTCCCCAACTAAGGGCCTGAGGGATCAGCAGGAAATTGGAAGCTTGCGTGTCTATCCAGGTCAATCAATAAAAATGTGGAATGTAAGGTGACGGACGCCAAGATGGGTGGGAGACAGTGGGAGTTCCATGCAATCTTTGCCGCCTGATCCTGGCCGTGGGTCTGTTTGCGCAACGCACACACGCGCCGCGAGTTTGCATCGTTTCATCCGACCCACACGGCGGCAGTATTCAGTCCGAATGAATCGCGGCCCGAAGCATCAATTTTTTAAAAACTTGGAATCGACCCAAAGCTTTTGCGGTCAAATCAGATCAGGTCAGACCAAATTTGGTCCTGCTCCCTTTCCCTTCCGCAGTCCGTTCATTGACTTGGCGCCAAGAAGGAGCGGCGCAGGACCCACCTGACCGGGGGCAGCTGTGCAGCCAGTGGCCCGCCCCTGCGCTTGATGTGCTCTGCTGCCAGATCACGGAAGTTCCGAAGAAGTGCGATGCCGTAGCGCGTCGCTATGGATTCCGGATGAAACTGCACTCCGTAGTGAGGCCTGGCGCGATGCGCCAGACCCATCAACAAGCATCCGCACCCTGACGGACTCGCCTCGTCATGCTGGCGGCGGTGGTGGTAGTGGCCAATGCCCACCTCGGCCCGCTCGCCACTACTGCGTCCCTCCAAACCTGGTGCAGCGGAGCCGTCATGGTTTGCGCCGTCGGCACATGTTCCCATCGGCAAGCATGGTGGAGGTACTAATGCTGCTAATGCTAAAGAGCTACTGCTGCTACTGCTGCTGCTGCTGCTGGCGGAAGCAGCAGGGGCTGCGTCCCGCGCCAGCTTGACGGCGGAATGCCCCCCAGTCGTCCAGCACACCGCCTCCAGACAATCCGGCAGGGAGTGCTCATCCACCAACAAGGAATGGTACCTAACGGGCGTGTGAGCGCGGGAGGGAGAAATTGTATATATACGGGCAGCGAAGTCAGGAAGGGAAACCAACTGCCGGCGTCCAAATTTGCAAACTGCTGGAGCGGGGAAAGGGGGAGGGGAAGTGTTGGAAGGTGGATGTCGGGAAGGCCCAGCAACGACGGCTAGGTGCTGGGTGCTGGCGTCCCCCTTGCTTGTCCGTCATACGCACCCTTCACGTGGCCCATACCTCTTAAGCAAGCCTTTTAATAAGATCCTGAAATCTATGGAAGCCCCCAAGACGGCACTCCGTTTCGGCAAAGGCCTTAGATGCACCTACCTGACCACCTCAAAGCCATCGGCGGAGGGTATGTCTTTGAACAAGGCATGTCCGTTGTGACGCAGACTGCTGAGGCGCCCGTGCACTGGCTCGGGGGCTGACACCACGGACGCGCCATGCGCCATGGCAAGGGCCTGATGGCCCAGACATATGCCAAGAATGGGGACACCCGATAATTGCTGCAGCACATCGACACAGACACCTGCAGCAATAGATGAGTGCCAGCATGGGGTTAATGGAGTCCGGCATCATAGGTTTTGAATGATCTAACAGGGCTAAGTGAGGGTCATGTTGCGGGTTGGAAAGGGAGGGCAGGGTAGTATGCAACCATTACCACCAGCAGTGTTGTCTCTGTGCTCGTACAAGGAAGACCCCCGGACCTTTAGAAGCAAACCCAAGCGTTGGTTACTAACCCCGATGCAGCAGTACTTGAATACGCACCTACGTCACTTGGGTTGTTGGGGTTGCCTGGACCAGGCGAGATAACGATGCTGTGCACCGTTCCGGCCTGGACCATCGATTGTATTTGGTTGATCGTAATTTTGTCATTGTAGTAAACCACAGGAAGTTCTGCATGTTTGCAAAATAAACTATTTTCGACGTCAGCACGCCATCGCACGGTAGCCGCAGACGCACGGCGGCGTAAGAAGACATGCGATTGAAGTAGGATTGGATTGGGTGAAAGTCTGACTGTAGTCCAATAATAGTTATCTACATCAACTCGGCCAAAACACGCTCTCCGCACCTCCGTTCACTTCAGCAATTGCTTGAAACAGGTTGTAAGTATAACTGTCATAATTGTCAATTAAAAGGGTCCGCATAGCTGTATGTAGATAACAGCACTGGGCACCAAGTTAGGGATAGTTTACACTTACAAGTTGTGGGGGCATTTTCCCCAAGCTGATTAATGGTTTCATTACTTCTTATGCCTCGCAGGTATAATTGATGAACACGTTTACGGCAATTGGCTTTTCCTAACACAACATTACTCGAAACATAATGCGGTAGTTCCACAGTTTGAACGTAGCTGCCACATCTGCCTTCTCCCCGCTGTAATCTCCATAAGCTTCTTTCTCCTAATAACTGCTTGATTTCCTACGCTTTCTTAGCCGCTGGACATACATACCGTGGGCTCAGCTGCTGTGCCTAACTTTGCAAGTTAACCAGATTCGAATGGACACGCCAACCCCAACCTAACAACTAGCAGTAAAGTTCTAGTAATGAGTTGTTGGCGTAGCGCTGAGGTCCTGCTCAACCCGCGGGTCATAATGGACGCCTGGGGAGCCAGCAGGCCGCGGAGACCGCAATCCTGCATGGCAGTCCTTCTTGCTCTGGCAATACAACAAGTAATTGGGCAGAGATCAGCGATCCAGACTTACCCGGTTGACTGGAGCGTTGTCCCGCTCAGCCCGCCAACAACCCGCAACCTCACGGCCAGCTGCAATTGCGACCTTTTGAACGTGGGCTGCAGCTTCGGCTGTTGCTGTGACTCAAAATGCCCAGCCGCAATAACAGACCTCTTTCGGTCTGCGGATATTTGCTTGCCCACGGGTACCAAGCAGCAGACACTCAAATTCTGTGTCCCGAATGGATTCGTGTTCAAGGTGAGAGCACTGCGACACGGGGCCGACTGACGGTCAGCCGTCGTGGCGGCAGCGTATCTCCTACTGGTGTACCAAAGACTGCCAGAATCACAGGCAACGTGCGGTATGCAGCGGACAGTTAACGGGCAGACTTCCGCAATAGTAGTCGGCGGCAGGCATGACGCGCCATGTCCACTGTCCGGCCCCAGATCCATGCGCACCATGAGCACACCAACCGGCTGGCGGAAGGCGACGGCGGCATGCGCTCTCATGTGTGTGCGTGCACCAACGTATCATCTGGTTATCGTCACACATGCACACACTTCCCAGATCAGCAATGCACAATACTCCCATTTGCAGTGGTCCTCTGTCTTTGGCTGCCAGGCGCCGGCATGGCCACGTCCAGAGGCACGTGCCCCACCCAAGGAAGGCTAGGCCCTATACTGCTGCATTACACGTGGCCCAACCCCTGGCTCTCCCTGCATGAACTTTCGCAGGCTTTTGGCGTGTTCGTATGCGCACAACATGCTCACCTACACTCCCGGGCTTGGAACTGCACTACATTGCATTGCATTGAAATGAAATGCAGTGTGCGTGCATCACCTTCTCCCGCTTTGATGCCTCTTTTTGCTTTCTTTTTTCGCCCCTCCGGCCCCTCCCGCGGACAGGTCAACCTGCCAGCCAGCAACGACTTTTATGTGCAGCCGGTGGAGCAAGCAGACAACGCCAAGTTCTTCTCACAGTTGCTGTGTATCGTGTCGGACAAGAACCCCAACGTGGGGGAGACCTACCCGGGTGGGCACACATGAGGTTGGAAGGAGTTCGCTAGGCGGAGGCTGCTGGCAAGGGGCAGGGGCGGGGGGTCGACGGTGTCGGAAAGCCCGTCAACCCACCCACAACCCCGCGTGTGCTGTGCCACCTTCCCCCCACCCGAACCCCCCCATGTGCCATACAGACCCTCCATCCGGAAACTCGGGCGACAACGCCAAGCTGGCGCAGTGTCCCGCCGCCGTGTCGCCGCCCTCCACGCCCGTAGTGTACGGCTTCCAGAGCATCGTCCAGGCGTACGGCACCGGCTCCACCGCCAAGCAGCCCCTTACGGTGCCCTACCCAGCTCTGAGCAGTCAGTGCAACGACCAGTTCGCGGTCGGCTACCTGATACCCACACCCGCCGGAAACCGGGTATGTGCCGTACGACGCAATGAAGTGGACATGTGCAAGGCGGCGGTTGACTTGACGCGATTAAGGATCGGGCGGGGGAAAGGCGACATTGGGGGCTTGGTATGCCTGCCCTGAGGAAATAGGGGAGGGAAGGTGAGCGTGAGGATGTGTGTTTGGAGAGTTTGGAACTTCAGCGTGGTGTGATGTAAGGTGGCGCGGGGCTTACGGAGGTGCGTGGCAGGGAACAACGGCTACGCCAAAACGTGCAGCGCGAGTATTCCGCAACTCTATTTTGAAATATTGGCCTGGCTTCTTTGGCCCGCCTCCTCGTCTTAAGCATTGTCTCCACTGCCACGCTTCCTTCTTTGCCCTTCCTCCCCGATACCTCGTGCCTCTTCCTCCCCTCAAAGAGCAAAGACCAACCCCAAAGAGCTCTCGTGTTTTTAAGCCATCTGGGTCTGCAACGCGCTCCCTCTCTTTGAGCCACCGCTCCCCTCAAAAGGAAAAGGAGAACGTGCGTTTGCCAACCCCCTCCGCCCCGGCGGCCACCATCCCCCCATCGCCGCTTGCAGGACTACTACTCAACCTGCCAACGTGACCTGACGGCTCTGGACCTGAACACCGCCTGTAGCGGCTCCGGATTGCTCACTGCTCAGTACTACAGCGGCATGCGGATCCTCACCGGCCAGAGCTCCACGTCCGCAATCGCCATTACCGTCCTGGCCGTACAGGTAGTACGGCAAAGTGTGCGGATGCGAGTCGTGTGGCGCAAATCCGTCCAATGCCAAGTACCAAGTGGAAAGGCGCGGGTTTGGGTGGGCGGCAAGGAGACCCGCATGTCACTGGAAACATCTTTAGTGATTGCTGGGAATTTTTTTGAGGAGGGGGTGAAAGGGGGGGCTTCAGTGAGGTACACCAGGTAGACCACCGCTTTTCACACCTTAAGCCCCTCGCTTCACGACCCGAATCCCCGACCCGAGTCCTTCTCTCACCTCACTTCGCGTCCCTCGCTCCTGATATCTCGCGCCTCTCGTATCGTAGCACTTGAACCCGGCTAACGGGTCCCTGACCGAGGCCGCTAGTACCACAGCGTCCTTCGATGTCTCCACCGGCCAGTGTAGCAACGTCGTGCGGTACCTCAACATGACGCTGTACTACAGTTACTATGACGACAAATCCGGGTACATTGACAAGGTGAGCAGGAGGAGGCCGTCGCTACAGCGGTGTCGTGCCGTTTTATCACTGCACCTTTGGGGAAGTCAAGCGATTCTGTGCGGTTGGTTTAACCTGATCATGCCAAGCCTTTTGGATGCGCTTGTGGGTTTGCGTCTGTCTTCGATTATGTTTTACACTAAGCTGTGGGTATAAAACGAATTTGAAGGGACTAGGTGCTTCGGGGTCTGTGTGGGGTTGCTTTATGAGTGATAGAATGTTTGGACGAATGAATGGCGCTACAGCGGGTCCGAGGGATCACCAGCGCTGCCCGGCTCCTTAAGCAACCAAGTCGTGGATCGCAAAAGACCAAATGCCGATGTGAATGACCATATAAAATTTTGGGTCGTGCCTTATGTGCCTTACAAAGGAGAATGTGCAGCAATAACGAGGAGGTGCTTTTGGTTCTGCTGCACAGGTGGAGGTGACCATGGTGCTGACCGACATCACCTACAGCAGCTCGCCGCTGTTGCAGAGTGTCCGAGTCAGCTGGATCGACTCCTCCCAGGCCACCAACGTGCAGTTCGTGGCCAGCGGCAACCCGGGCTACATCAGCGGCTTCCCTGTGCTGGTGAGCGGGCGGTGGTGACATTAGTAGTGGTAGTGGGGTGGTCGGCGCGAGGGGCCGGCAGGGTGAGGTCACTTAAGTTAAATCCCTACGTGACCTGAAACGCGAACATGACGGATTGTGACGTGGGAAAGGGGCGCAAGGTTGGGAACGAAGCGCCGTCAGGCCTCAGCTGCATGAACGGAAAATGGATTGCAACGGTGTGCGCCGGGGGGCAAGGGGTGGGCAAGGCAACCCACCCGGAGAAGAACACCGCGGGGGGGAGGGAGCTGTTTGTCTGTCTGCTGGCTGGCTAGCTGGCTGTACCTCTGCCTTGCGACTTCCCACATAATCCGGTGCTTGGGCTTCGCGCGGCGAACCAGATGGACTCTCCTCTCTATTTTCTCGCCTCTTAGGGTTAGGAGCTCTCTGGGTGTTTGCGCCTGGTTGCCTTGGTCCGGTTCCCAGATGGTGGTCCCGCGCTTCACCTGTGTGGGGGAGTATTGCAAGGGATCATCGGTGACGCCATCAGCATGCATCAGCAGCATGCGAGCAATTATTGTGCGAATGCATGCAATGCACAGCAGCCCAGTAGCTCTGGACTTCGCCATCGCGTGTGTATACGTTACCGCTGCCGCTGCCTGGTTTATTTGTTTCTGTCTGCGTATCTCCGTCCAGGCCGGTACGAAGGTGACCGACTCCAGCGGGGCAATGGCTATTCAGCGCCTAGTGAGCGGCATGCCCCTTCCCACACCGGGCTCGGCCGGCCAGTGTGACGCCACGTCATTCGGTACCGTCAAGTACGGTGCTAACTTCTCCAGCTCCTGCAGCTTCAGCCTCACTGCGGTGCAGCTCAAGGACTTCTGCACGTGAGTATTTCGGGGTGTCGGGAGAGTGTAGGCGAGCTTGCTGAGGGTGTGAAGTGTGGTGTTGCCGTTATTGGGTGGGCCGAGGTGTGGACAGCTAGACGCTGGAGCCTAAGTTACGCCGCATTACAGTGGCGTTTTCGCTGAGTCGGGAACGAAGGGCATTCTTGCCGGCTGTGCCTGCCTGGGCTTGACGAGTCGCTGTTTTATCGCGCCCTACCGTTCGCGGGGGAAGCAAGGGCTCTCCCCGCGGGCTGCTGCTAGCGCTATTGGGCACCTGTTGCAAAAAGGGACGTCCCGACCTCTCGCGCTCCACGCAGCAACGAGGTAAACCAACCCGAGAAGTACCTCCGGCTAGCTATGCCTACACTACTACCAAGCATTGAGAACGGCAGCCTTTACTTTGGCGAGTGGGGAGATGCGGAGTTCAACAACACCAACGACTGGATCAAGGTAATGTAGGGGATAAGATCCTGAATCCACCAGATGGTAATAGTATAACCATCGTAGAGTTAGGTGACGAAAGCGTGCTGACCACAAACGAGATTTAACAATTGTACACTGGGGGGCTGCGGTATCGTGGAATTTGGGATGCCTAGTGTTGTGTATGTGCACTGGGACGTGCCGAGCCCATGTGGGTTCAAATGCACCTGTTCCTTCCCCTTCTTTGCGAACGACTGTTCGCATGCCTTGCTACCTCGCATGCCTCGCTACCCCAAGGAAAAGGCTATCGTGGGCCTTAGCCATGTGTTGCGACGGCAAAGCCTGCACAATAGAGATTCACGTGTTTGGCCATCTTTATTGGCCGTCTGCAGGTGTCTGTGTCGGGCGTGCCGTTCAACAAGACCTCTCCCGCGTACTCAGACGCTGATATGGCCTGTTCAGGCCTTGTGGTAGGATTCGACCTGCAGATTGTAACGGGAGTCGCCTTCTCATCAAGCAACCTACAGCAGAAGGTGCGGGCAACAGGGTTTCATCAGGGAAGCGTACCCTGGACCAGGTAGCGTCGCCTTGAAGCCGCGTAGGTTTTCAACTAGTTCACACGTATGCGCCTAAGCCCGGTGCCAGGTAATCTGTTACCCCGCGTCTGTTCCCGCATAGGTAGGGCCTCATCCCTAGCGTCACTGTGCCATGTCCTCGCAAGTTGCATGGACCTGCCTTGGATGGCGCGCATGGCTCAAAAAAATTCTGCCTAATGAACACGTGTATGTATCGTCGTTGGCAAACCGGGTGCCTGCAGGTGCTTTACGCGAAGATTTGCTTCACGACGGGTGTGTGGGACTTCCCCGACCAACTTCCTATGACGACAGCCAACCGTTTCTTTTTAAAGTTTAACGTCAACTTTGTGCGACTACCGCAGCAGGCAGTATCTGTCAAAAAGCCAACACCGCCACTGGTTGTGCCGCTGCCTGAAGATTTATTATACCCTTTTGTCGCTTCAGATAGCGCGGTTGGGTCATGCCGTGTGTGCATTGGGCTTAGCGTATTAGCAGTCACGATGGTTGTGGTCTTACTTCAGCGAGTGCAAGAGTGGTAATGTGTTCAGGTAGATCTTGAACAGAAGATTAGATCCGTGCATAATTTTTGGATAATGCAGGTTGGGCAGCCTATAGCGGTGTGCCGGTGTGGTACGGATATTGATGAATCACGCTTCGCGACTTTCGAACTCTCGTGGACACCTTGTTGTGAACTTTAATTATTTCAGCCGTTTTTTGGATCACGCAGGTTAAGACTTGCGGGAACAGTGTAACACAGCCTGTCGGTACCTGCGCCCACATGCTCCCACTTCGCGCGCCGCAGGGCGCACGGTGCTGCCAAAAGCAACACGAGCAACGCCCATTTCTTAAACTCAGTAGCAGAGGTTTCGTCGCCCACACTGCAACTTACACGAGACAATTGCTTTCGCGCAAGCGCGCCCAGGTCCCCCTGGCGTCCAAGCTGGAAGGCGTCGCAAACCCCGGCGATAGACTAGGTCCCGATTATGATAAACTTATCCCAAACTACGACAAGGGTCGGCGGGCTGGCATCTTGCTTCATCCCACGTCCTTGCCCGGACCTTACGGCATCGGCGAGCTGGGTGATGAAGCCAGACGCTTCGTTGACTGGCTCGCCGACGCGGGGATGACCTGCTGGCAGCTGCTGCCACTCGTACCGCCGGACCCGATGTACTATTCTCCGTACTCTGGTACGGACGCCAGTTGCGGCAACCCGCTCGTGATCTCCATTCAGGAGCTTATCAAGGAAGGCCTGCTCGACGGCTCAGAGGCGCCACCCCATGTACCCGTTGGTGACGTTGATTTTCCTTCAGTCGCCGCAGCCAAGACACCATTGCTGCAGCGCGCAGCACAGCGATTGCTCCGGGAAGGCCGTTTCGCGGCTCTGCGGGATCAGTACCTAGCCTTCCGCAGCAGCCATCCCTGGATTGAGGACTCGGCCCTGTTCGATGTGGCTCGCAACCTTCCAGAGCTCAACACCCTGGCGTGGTGGGAGTGGCCGGAGCCGTTGCGGTTGCGCCAGCCGGCTGCCCTTCAGGAGTTCCGGACGCAGCACGCAAACGCCATTGACGAGTTTATCGTCATCCAGTTCTTCTTTGAGCGGCAATGGAGGGCGGTCCGGGTAGGCGTTCTAGCTGGTACCGATGATAGTGTGAGGAAGTGAGGTGTGCTGGTGGGGGATGGAGTGCAGAGAGGTGTGCTGCAGCCGGAACGGCCGGTACACGTCCCCCCGGGTGCTTGGCGCGGGGTGGGCGCACATGCACCACGCACCAATACACACAGTCCTGGCATGGACATGGGTACGGCCTCACTGGCACGTAACCTCAGCACGTGTACCCATGCACCCGTGTACCCAACAGCGCTGCACTTTATGCGTCTCGCCAACCCATCCCCATTCCACCTGCCTGCAATCTACCCTGCCATCTATCTTGCCCTGCCCCGGACAGTCCTATGCCAATAGCCGGGGCATCAAGATCATCGGCGACATGCCCATCTACGTGGGGGGCCACTCCGCCGACGTGTGGGCCAATCGGCACCTGTTCGAGCTCAATGAGGCGGGCCTACCTGCGGAGGTTAGCGGAGTGCCGCCGGACGCCTTCTCCGCCACCGGTGGGTGGGGACTGGGGTGGGTTTGGTGGCGCCTTTGTGTACATGAAGGTTCCGGGTTCGATTCCTGGTCAGGCCCCCGACATTGTTCGGGAGGTCTAGGTTTACTAACGCTGCTGAGGTGTGGAGATGAGGTCTAGTTGATGGACTAAATTTCGCATGCTGAGAAGGTGGTGGTGGCTGATCTGTCTCTACGGATGTTGGGTGACTGGATGAGGAGGGGTCTAGTTGGCAGGACCCAAACCGCCGTCGGTTGTACGGTGTAATCAACTTTCTATATATATAGTCCATGGCCTCCCGGCTTTGACGGACCCCCCCGCACTCGTGCGGCACTTGTAACTTGTAACTTGTAGCGAATTGGGGAGGGGATCTGTCTGAGAAGACGGGATGTAACGGGGCGGAGTCGCTGATGGGAAGGTTGTCGCGATGAAGCTCTCACGGAAATTGCCAAAGGTGTAAAGGCACGCATACCGACACGGCAGTGAGCGTCCTTTCATGGCGCTGTGTAATATCTCACCGGAGGGAATCACCAGTGGTGGTGTACCTGGATGCTAAGCCTCACCAGTCCCGCTCAAAGATATTTTCCTCCTCTATCCTTTTTTAAAAAAGGTCCTCGCGGCCCGGAGGAGCTGCTCCACCTGCACCACCTCGGATCCACATCACTGATCCATCAGTGGCCTCATTGGGGCGTGAGGGCGGGACTGTGATCTTGTTGGCTTGCCTATCCATGCTGCCCCGCCGAAACCCCCGGGGCCCGCAGGTCAGCTGTGGGGTAGTCCGCTGTACCGGTGGCCAGCGCACCGGGACGAGGGCTACAAGTGGTGGACTGCTCGCATGGCGCGTACTCTGGAGCTGTACGACGAATGCCGTATCGACCATTTCCGGGGCTTTGCGGGTACGGAGTACGGAGACGAGCGACCTGCAGCGACTCCCGCCACACCGCTTTTGCGGTTAGTGGATAGCCAAAACCAACATACACACTGATTGTTGCGGCCAAACGCTGATTGTGAAGTTCCCGTACATACACGCGGCTTCGGGAGAGCGGCGCTTACGATGGGCTCCTAAAGGGTGGATGATGATGATGAGGAGGAGGAGGAGGAGGAGGAGGGGGGAAAGAGGTGGAGCAGCAGAGGACAGCAGCATGGCTGACTGCAGCATGCAGAAGGAGGGGGACCTGGCAGCACCCGCTGCCCCAACTCCACCCCTGCCCCTTCCCTCGACCTCACCCGTACCCCATTTAGGGACGGGGCTTCCAAAGGTCATTCTCGCCGCCCTGGGTGCTTCATGAACACCCTCGCCTCCCCTACGGCTGAACAACGGAATCCAGTGGCCTTTCCTGGCCTCTATTGCGATTGACCTCTATCGCGATTGACCTCTATCGCGATTGACCTCTATCGCGATTGACCTCTATCGCGATTGACCTCTATCTACCCGCTGCAGGCTATTGGAGTGTGGACGCCAAGGAGACCACCGCCATGAACGGCGTGTGGCGCCAGGGCCCGGGTCTGGAGCTGTTCACGGCTATGAAGGCGGCGCTGGGGTCGGTGCCCATCCTTGCCGAGGACCTGGGGGTCATCACACGAGATGTGGTGGAGCTCAGGTGGGGGGGGGTCCGTGTGTATGTGCGTGTGTTGGGGGGGGGGGGGGAAGACGAACCACACACGATTGAAGCTGCTGCCAGGGCAAGAGAGTATCAAACGTAGAACTGACCGAAAGGCGTCCGTGAAGACCGTGACCTCGGGTGGGTGGGTGGGAGGGATGGGGGCGTGAGCAGGTTAGACTGTGGAGTGAGTGGGAGTGGGCGGCAGGTGCAGGTGTTGGGTTCTGGGGCGGCAGCATTCAGCGCGGGGTGTTAAGGAAGGATACGTGGCAAAACCCCGAACACATCCAAAGGGCGCGAATGGGTAAAAGTGGATGCGTCCAGGGCAGGGGGGATGAGCCCTCGTTGGGTTTCATTGTCTGTGGGTTTCATATCCTGTTGCTTCGTGTCCTTTTGCAGGGAGGCGATCGGTGCACCGGGAATGGTGGTGCTCCAGTTCGCGTGGGGCGGCGGCCCCGGCAACGTGCACTTGCCACACAACCACTACGAGAACTGCTTCGTATACCCGGGTACACACGACAATGAGACGGCGGTGGGCTGGTTTCGGGGTAGTGCTAACGAGACCGACAAATCGTACATTCGGTCGTACTTGCGGACCGACGGCGGCGACATTGCGTGGGACTTCATTCGGGCGTGCATGGCGGCCGTCCCGCGGACGTGTGTGATTATGCTGCAGGTGTGTCTCGGGAGAGATGAAGGGGCTCCGAGGGGGAGAGGGTGGCCGCGGTAAAGGGCTTTTGCTGACGTGCGAGCATGAGCGGGTGGGCGCCAAACGTATTTCCATTGCTTGCGCGTCTGAACGAATGCTTGGCGAAAAATAAGAATCGTGAGATGAAAAAGAATGAATGCCGGTAGCGGCCATTGTTATGTTGTGTGATGCGTTTTTTTAATTGTTATGTTGTATCGTAGAGAGCGGCCCTAGCGTGTGCGCGCTCTCCAGCTCGTTTTCATTGGCGAGTAATACGCAACTCTACCCGAAAGCATCTCTAAGACGCCCACCCCCTAGGAGATATTATCCCCCGGCTTAGCCTACCCCTGGACTCCAGCAGCTTGTGCTTTCGACGCGCGTCAGCAGCCGATCTTTTGCACTCCTTGCACCCAACATCCTCTCCCCGGGTACTGCGCGGTGCCCTTGGCGGTCGTGAAATCATCGTCGCCGGTGCGCTCTTTCGTGTAGGATGTCATGCGATTGGACAATAGCGCGCGGATGAACACGCCGGGCACTGCCGCCGGCAACTGGCGCTGGCGCGTGGGTGACAGCGGCGTGTGGGAGGGACTCCGAGGTGCTGCCGTGGACCTCCGGCGACTGGCCCATGACACGAACCGCCTGCCGGACAACAGAAAGTGAGGTGCGGACTGCTGTTGTAACTCTAAAGAAACGGCACGGCCTGGAGTGAGCTATGTCTGGTTCAGGTGGGCAGAGCGATTATTAGGCGAGAGGATGCGGCGGCTGTGAGCTGCAGCAACACATGCTCACGTTGCTGTACTACGCCATCGTGCGTCCTCAGCCGTGACGAACACCAGCGGGGGGAGAAGGCAGTTTGGGGGCCAGCCGTTTGGCTGTGTGTTGCGGGTCACGGCGGCGGTGCTGGTGTGGGGCACCCGGGCTGACACTGTCTTACTTTGCGGCGGGCAGCGCTCTTCACCTGGATAGACGAGGAAACGGAGGAGGGGTAGGAGGCGGAGCAGGTGATTGGTGGGGTTGTTGTGTGTGTGTGTGTGTGTGTGTTACATGGTTGGGGGTGCGTGACCCCATACCTGTAAGACTACCCATACGAGCCGAAGGCCCAAGGGTGGGATTGTTGGCTTGAAGTCACGGAGCCAGCCAGCCAGCACCGCATGTTGCGGCGCGGGGCTTCCATCGGACGGGCTGCCTCGCCCCTCGAGGTGGGGCGGATGCAACGTGTGAACAACTGCTTTTGTTTTCTGTCTTGGTGATGCTGCCGGGGATGGGGACTGTGTTGCGGAATGTCCGTCCTTGTGAACGGCGGAACAGCGAAACAACTTTCCTTATGGGGCTGGTGTTGTCCGATGTTGCTGTGCATTGTACATGATGGTGCGAATACATGAGGCCTCAGCGTGGTGTAGCTGGGTTGGGTCGCCTCCACCTGGCCCCCCTTAGATCCCCACTGGGGGGAGAGGTAGAGGGGGGCCTGAGGCTATCTGGGTGGGATAGGCACCGCAACGCGCCACACCAGGCTGCCTAACTACTCTCCGTGCGTTTCGATGGACGATCGCATACTGCGTTAAGTTGCAAACTTTGCCTTTCATTGCACGTGTGTTCATGTATGCATGTGCGCACATGAGGGGAAGGGCGGGGTGGTGTCCTTCGAGTCCTAGGAAGGGTGGTAGTGGGGCTGCGGGGGTTAGCGTGAGAGGTGACGAGTGTGGGTGGCTGTAATCGTCTGCGTGCCTGTGCATCTAGGGGCAGGCACAGGCATAAATAGGCGAAGCGGATGTGGACCGAAGGGAGTTGAGAAGGGGGGCCGGTTATGGTGGTGCTTTTGTTGGTGATGGTGGTGCTTGCTGCGCTGCTCTGGTGATTACTTCTGCTTTCCTATCAGGGAGTAAGAATTCCAACAGAGTAAGAAAGGTACCTGTTCCTAGGGTGTATGAGGACTTGTTGTAGTGCTGGTAGCGGTGGTGCTGGTAGTGGTGGTGGTGGTGACAGCAAGGGTGTGGAGAGCCCGGGGCCTGGCCCAAACATTCCCTCCTAAGACTTAAGGGGTCACGACGAGAGGAGAAGGGTAATCATGGTCACACGAGTATATATTACATTATCCATTATCCTCCTCATCAGGCTCTGAGCCTGGAACCTCCATATTGGATGATTATGGAAGGAAAAGCAGGGGGATTTTAGGGTCCCAGTGACCTGGAGTGGCTACCGTACCCGGTATTCGCGCCCTACTGCGAACACTACTGGCAGTGCAGCTCGGAAGAGAACTTGACAAACAAACAATCATAACGGTGCATAACGCAAGCAGAAATTCCTAACAAGATGGTCACCTCACAGTCCGCCCCCTCCACCACTGGCACCACCACTCCGAAGCATTCACCTATACATAACCGACGGAACACAAAACGGCATTTGCAATCCTGTGCTGAACATATATTCCCTTATTTACAAGGCGGAGGCACATCCTTCGGGCCCCCCGGGACATATGAGGTGAGGCTGGGGAAAGGATGACGACAGTCGACGAGGCAGGTCGCAGATGGCCTGTCCCCAGTTTATTAAAAATTAAAAACATCCTCGCGCCACCGTATGGCTAGAATGCTAGACAACATACAACGGCGAGATCCATATCAACAGGCTAAATCCTGCACATGCAATGCACGAACTAAGAGAGAACAGCAGCAGCAGCAGCAGTAGCAGCAGCAAGCGTCAACAGCAGCAATAAATATATATGCAACGAATTCGACAAGCCACATCGCACAAACCTACTAATCAGAAATTGTTGGATTTATTTGGATCCTACACTTGCCGTAAACCTGCTTAAGAGCATTGTATCATCACGATGGGGTCACGAGAGAAGAGGGAGTGGGAGTGCAAACCAAACCGGCGCTGAAGACAGGCGCTTTTTGCGCCTCCATTTTGGCCCCGATATGCGTAATCACTAATAATACTTCACCATCATCTGCAACAGCAGTAGCAGTACGCGCTTCCGCAGCTTCCGGAAAAAAAACCAGCACTGCTAGAACATGGGGTTAAGCAGCGCATCTGCGCACATAGGTGCGCACCTAACAGTCACCACGCCGCCGCGGTTGCCAGGGACTCCTCTTGTATCCTCCTCGGCGCCGCTGCCACAGCTACCAGCCCCCACTGCTCCGAAATCCGCCTCTCTCGGCAGCTACACACGCACACAACTGCACCTGCCTTCCTGCCTGCCTGCCTGACACCGAGACAACCTTATGCGCGCGCTGCACTACAGATAGGAGGTGCGGCATGACTGGAAACCGTTGGCTTCCCATAAGCCTTGGGAGCTCGCTGCTTTCATTGACATTACCGCTACCGCTTTTATTGTTTACTATTTCTTATGGTAGGTCTTGCAGTATTATCTTTCTTATGACAGCTCTTGCAGTATTATCTTTCTTATGGTAGCTCTTGAATTATTGCCAGAGACGCCCACACAGAACCACACGGGCCGCCGCGGTGGTGGCTCCTGCACTCCAGCTATGACTGGAGAGTTCGACACCAACCCGAGCCAAGCACCTGCCCAGGCTCTGGCTGCTGCAGTATCAAATGACAGATGTGCTGCCTGTCGAGAGGTTGTGGACCCCCCCTCCTTGCAAATACCAATCTTCGCTACGACCTTCACCTCCCCCTCCCTTCCTGCCTGCCTCCCTCATGGGGGGGTGCAATCCGGCAAAACGTCCCACGGCCCCACATAACCAATAAACAGCAACAACAGCCTCCGCCCAAAGAAAAGCGGGTAATGGTTTAGGATCTGGCGGGGAGAAGGCGAACCACGAACGAATGAAGTTGGTGCGAAAACTATCTGGCGAGTGGAGGGCAGGCGCTTCTTTACTAGAGCGCCTCTTCTTAAAGCAATAAGCCGCACATAAAGCAAAAGCTAAAAGCAAGTCCTGAGCGCATTCGTTATAAAAAGCCGCGCAAAAAGGAGACGTCCGCCTCCCTCCTAGCTACCGTAACATCTCCCCTAGCCGGTCGCCGTGTTGCCGTGTTGCACGTAGAAGAACAATGTTCGAAATTGTGCAAGAGTGGGCGGCGACATGACACGGATGACTGATGATGCAGGGCCCAGCTGTACAGGGCTCGGGACTGGATCCCCCCGTCGCTTGGCATGTGGTGCAGCGCAGGGGACTGCGCTGCTGTGCTCCGGCCCGCGGCCCGCTGTCCCCAACTCTCCACTGCAACCCATCCCACCCCACACACCATGTTCGTTCGCAGCCAACACCTCACAGCAGCTGGCGGTTCTCCCTAGGCCACCAGAGTAGCTCCCGCCAGGGCTGCAGCAGCAGACACATCAAACAGATGAAGACGCCCCAGCCTCATATCACAGAAAGTAGCCAGCAATTTTTCCTTTTTCACCTACCCCTCTGCCCTCCCTCTCTTCTTGATGGTTTGGACGTCGGCAGTGGACCCTTTTCCCGTTTACATGTGGTAACAATGGCAATAGATGCCAAAGGGCCGCAGCGGAGCACTGAACGGAAAGCGCACTGCAAGGCCAACACCAACAAGGGCGCAGCAACAGGAAGAAGCGCGGTACACTCCCCCCGGCCCTTCCCCTCCCGTCCCCTTACCGTGCTGCTGGGCGGCTGCATCCTCTGCTCCCGCAGCGCCGTCCAGTTAAAGCCACGGAACCACGGGTCACGCAGCAACTGCGCCACCGTGGGCCGTTGACCGGGCGACCAGGCCAGCAACCGGGCCAGCAGCTCCTGAAGCTCATGTGACCAGTAGCGGCTGAAAGGGGGAGTCCAATGCCGGTTGGGCGGCCCAGCCAATCCCGCCGGCAGCTGGCCCGTAAGGAGCGAGAACATGCAGGCGCCCAAGCTCCACATGTCCGCGGCGGTGTCGTACCCGGCCTCATCGCGATCACGGCACTCGGGGGCCATGTGGCCTGAGGGGTTTGGGGCGAATGGGAAGAAGCACCAAGACCGGCGGTTCGGGGAAGCACAATGGGAGGACTTCTCGCATTGGTTTATCTCCTTATCCCCCTCCCCCTTGCCCTGCTCTCACCTGGACTGCCCACCCTGGAGTTGAGTCTCCCCCCGGGTACTGAGCTCAGATCCACTGCTGTGCCCAGGTCACCCACGACCACGTAGCCGGTGTCCAGGAGCAGCAGATTCGCCAGTTTGAGGTCCTGGACAGGGGGGTTATATATATGGGGGAACCATATGATGCAAGGAACTCAGAAATGAACTGCCAGCGGGTCTTGGAAAGGGAGGAAACCATTAAGGATAAACTGGTGGAGAATGAAAGGGGCCCAGAACCACTCGCAATGATGGCACAAGTGAGAGGGAAAGGTTGAACCAACCCGCATGGCCTTCTCCGTGAGGAGCGGCTCCATCTCCATCAGCCTCCCATGGCCTTCCCCTCCCTCTCAGTCCCCTCTCTTGTCACGCCCGCAGTTGCCGTCGCTACGACTATCTAATCCCCCATTCACCACTGACATCGCCACCCCCTCTCCCTCCCGCACCCATCCCCCGGCCCGTTCGTTTCCCCCAATCCTCTCAGCAACCCCCACCCGGTGCACTGTGTTGAGCTTGCAGTGTAAGTGTTCCAGCGCCAGCACCACACAGCCCGTGTAGAAGCGGACCGCGTCCTCGGGCATCAGCAGCGGCAGGCACGACACAGCGGGCACGGCGCCGGCCGTCTTAGGGTTATGGTGCGCCGCCGAGCGGCCCAGAAGCAGCTGCACCAGCTTCCGCAAATCGCCGCACCGCGCCCAGCCGATTAAAAGCGTGCACATTACGGCCGGCGGCTCCACCGTGCCGTCGCCGACACCGCTGCCGCCTCCTGTTGCTCCGCCCCCACCGACGCCATCCATGCCTGGGCAGCCCCCGTACATGTCGATGATGTCCATGGATGCCCGCCGGCAGCGTGGGCGTGCACGCGGTGCTGGAGCTCCGGGCATACAGTTGCCGCCGCCACCATGAGCCCAGCCACCACCGTATCCGTGCGCCGCGTAGCCGCCGCCACAGCCGCTGGGCTCGCCGCCGCAGCTGCCCAGCGTATCATCTTGCACCGCCGTCGCGCTGGTGCTGCTGGCACAGGGATCCCACCCAGTCAGGCTGCTCCGTACGCTGGCCAAGGTCCCCATGCCGCCCAGGTATCCGCCGCTGCCGCCGCCTCCGAATGCATCAAATGCGCCGCCGCTGCTGCCGCTACCATTGCTGTTCACCACGGCCGCCAGCCGTTGCATGATCTGCCACTCCAGATCCTCCGTTGCGCCGCCACCGCGCCACTGCGCCCAGGCTTGGTATCCCGGGCTGGACATCATGGCAGCCGCCGCCGCCGTCACCGCCGAAGGCGCTGATTCCAAGGATGACGTCATCGACAGCCACGTGGAAGGCATGCCCAGGCTGCCGCCTTCGCTGCCCATTCCGACGAGCCCTGAAGCCATCTCATTGGAGAGCCGGGGCGGCGTGCCTATAGGGCTGATGGATCCACCTGGCGACGGAGCAGCTGCGGCGGCGCCACGGTCAGCTAGACCATGCTGTTCTAGCAGGGCTAGGAGTTGCATGATGAAGGGGCAGTCGGCGCATTGACGCAGTAGCTCCGCTTCACGGAATGAGGCGCGCAGGCGTGGGTCGCTCGGGGGGAGGTAGCAGGATTTGGCGGCGACCAGCAGGCGGCTGCCGTCGGGGCAGTGTACGGCAACGAGGTCAACGGAGCAGCACGCTCCGAGACCCAGATGGGCCACGTGGACTAGTTGGTCAGGGGTCACGTGGGAAAGCAGCCGCTGCAGGGCGTAGGCGGTTAGGGGGAGATCATACGCAAGAAGCAAAGAATCAACTGGCGGTAGGCGGTGGGAAAGGACAAGGACGGCAAGCGGCGGTGAGGTCCATGTTGAGTCGGTGGTTTGGGGGACATCGATAGGATGCGGATGTGCAAGTTGCCGCACGCAGGGTTTGCTCGAAATGCAACCTAAGGGGCCCATGGGCTTTGGAGGAGTTTAGCCACACCGTGAGTAGGGGCTGCAGTCCTGGTGGTGCTTGGTGGTGGTGGGAGATTATGGGCTCGTGGTTGGAGTAAAACCTGTTCTGGGATCTTAACAGAGAGGAGAGGAGTTCCAAAGTCCCCGGATTCCTAGCACGTGACGGATCACCGTGATGGGAGAGAGCAGCCCGAGGGGGAGAGAAAGAGAGGGCAGGTTCCCAGAGCAGCACCGGCCTTACCCGCGCGCTGCCGTCCACGATGATGCCGCTGTGCAAAAGCTCCATGACGTCTTCATACTCTCCGTACATCCCGTAGTACGGGCTGCGCGGCTGGGGACCGAGCGAAGGTGCGCAGTCGGGCCCTGCGGACGCGGCAGCGGCCCCACCGGCGGAGCCCAGAGTGTCGTCCGGGGCGAACTGGGAACCGCCGAGTCCCTGATTGCCGAAAGCTGCATCCTGTGACGGTGAATTCGCATGCGATTCATTGTTCTTGGGCGAGCTGGCAGCCTGGGGTCGAGGCGGGGGGGACACGTTTTAGAGAATGTTGTCATGTCGTACATACAAACCCTCTGGGCGGATGCAGCAAACACAGACCCCCGTTACTACATGGTTTTCCTTGTGTCCATCTTACGGATGGCTAATGCGGAGCAATAAAAAGCTGTCGCCAAAAACCGAGAACGAGTCTGGGCAGCGAAACGCTGTTGAACGAGCCGTTACAAACAGGAAGTTTGCTAAGCTCTGGCTTGCATGTAAGACATACACTTAATGCCTTCGCGAATGCATTCGCCGTCGACAGCTTGAGAAGTGCCAGGTGCATCTTCGGTTTGCCTGAGGTTCCATTTTGTGGGAAAGCAGGGGCCCCATCTATCGAGGAACGTCTTCCAGACATAATTCTAGCGGTAGGGCATAATTATCCAGCGAAAACGTTAAATGGGCGAGGTAGGTTTGCGACGACTTCGTGTATCCCGTGAGCAAAAGCAGTTGGGATGTGGTGGAGCAGTAACGTGAGCTTCTTATGACTTTTGATGTGTATATTTGCATGCTCCGCTTATTATGCTTACAGTTGGCAGGCTGCCGATGCTTTCCGTACGCAGACTATAAATTCCCCAACATGATGGCTGCGTTTGCACAGCGGTACTCGTGATATGATAGTGATCTACACCAACCTCCTCAATAGGGTAGCATGCAGCAACCGTTCTGATCCTACGGTAAACTGACGGCGTTCCTGTCCTGGGCTTCTTTTGTTCTGAAGCGACTGAGAAAATCTCTGTCACCATGCTAACACCAGAGAGGTACGGTCCGCAACATACTGATAATGTCGAATTGCAGGATTGCGCTGAACCTACGCAATCTGCCGGCACCTGCAGGAAGCGTGCGCTGGCATACGTGCCGTGGGTTGCCCTAATCGCATTTATATTCATCTTTGTGGGCATCATCGTATGGTAGGTATAGTGGTGTTTGTCGGCGGACCAAACAGCGGCCGGTGCCCTTGTTTGACCCCAAGATTCTGTCGTGCCATCAGGGGTACCGGTACCAACACAGCTCTGTCCAACACAAATGCCGCCCTCTTGGCCCTTTCCGTTGAAGCGGATGGGTACGTGAATACTATCCATTCAGCGGCCATTGGAGCTGTAGTCGTATGCGCGTTAATGGCAACCACGATGGTGCTGATGTCCGCTGGTCGCACTTGCTTGGAGAAGGCTGTCGACCAAAGGGGTGAGCACCATTCCTGATTGTACTTCCCTGGCCGTAAGGTCACGTTGTGCAAGTAGTAAACATTGCCCGGCTGGGTTTAGGCGTGGCAAACTCATTCTTATGTTTGGTGAACCCACAGGCAGAGCTGTGTGTGGCTCCTGGCTTTGGCTGGCCACGGAAGCTGTCTTATGCACCATCTGGTGGCTTATCCTATTCTGGTTGGTCTTCGTCATATTTGGCAGCTGCCTTTGGTACGGTGCAGCGTACACAGTCCGTGGCGTCCTTCAAGTGCAACTAAGTTACGCAGGCAATAATTCAACAGGCAGCAGCTTGAACACGCTTGGTCTTACGAACATCACTCTTGCTAACGGAACTGTCGTGACAGCTGGCAGCCCGCCCCCACCTGGGTCATTCAATTGCCCCACTACCTGCCTCAACCTGGCTCTGTTTGACGTCATCGTTCAGGTTGGTGGCGTTTGAGATATAGACTGTGGCCGTTGGTATTTCTAATGAGAGTGTACCAGTCAATGTGTCAGTCTATTTTTGGAGGTGTTTCCCGGTTCTAATGGCCCTACTATGCCGTTGACTACTTCGGGTTGCACGCGCTTACTGCTTTGCTTGCATTTTGTGGATTTGCAGCAAGACATTTGCGTCTGCGACTACGACAAGATCAAGACTGCATTGGACCGTACGAACAACGCGTACAGCGCCCTGGGAAGTGTAGTGGCCGGATCTTTTCTCTTATGGGTCGGCGCCAGCTTCCTGCTCATGAACGCAGTGGCAGATTTTGCCAAGACTAAGCGCGAAAGGGAGCTACTCTTGCGGGCACAACGAGCTGCCGTGGATGCTGCTGCCAACCAGCTGGCCTTGGGAACGGCTCCCATAGCCCCAGCTCTATACACACCTGGGTACCAGCACGACACTATGCCGCTGTTGAAGACCCAAGCACTACAACAACAGCAGCAACAGATGCAAATGGCGCAGCTCATGGCGCAGGCGCAGGCGGCGCAGATGGTGCGGCCGCCAGCAGTGACAGGGCCCACCGGCGTCAGTGCAAGTGGCAGCCAAGCTAACCTGGGCAATGCTGTATAGCAAGGCACGCTGCGTCGTTTTGCAAGCTGTTGATTCTTGATATGTGTGCGCTGAGGCCAGCGTACTGTTGCTGTGCACAGATCTTTTAGCGGGTTTTCACTGGTCTCCGCTTTGGTCGTCGTGAGCATTTTGGCAACCAAGTGTATGGATTTTGTAGACAGCGTGGGGGATTGGGACTGGGTGAGCTTGGCGGGAATTTTTTTAATGTATCCGGAGATTCTGTGCTTCGCGCGTGGGCTTGGTGCCTGGAAGCGGCACGGGAAGCAATGATTATTACTGTGGCTGGCGTCTTTGTGCTGGGTGCATTGGGTCGCTTCTACACGTGCATCCTCCTAGCTCCGAGTTGCACTGCAGCGCCAGGTTACATACTAGGCGGTCGAGCGGTCGGCAGGGACCCGCCGGCCGTTGACGGATACGGTCATTATTAGTCCCTGTCCAATCGCTATGAGCTTCAATAGTGCATTTTTGTCACGGCAGTGTTACAGGCTTACTAAGCCTTTTAGCCGTACAACTTGTGTAACAGATGTGTGGGAAGGGGGATAATGCAAAAGACACAAGACTTAACGGGAAGCAGATGCCAAAATGGCGAGAACCCAACGCTTCACCCGTCAGCTCATTGACGGTGAAGCATTGGGAACACGTGCTCTCTCTGACCAGTCGGCATCCCTCAAGGTGGATTCCCCGCTGAAGGACCTTGCGCATCCGAAATCCCATCGTCTGCCATCATACGTTGTAACTTCTGCAGGGGTTTGGGATAACCAAGTCTCAAGCCAGTCTTCGGAGTACAATATACCTTCGTAAAGGCGGCGGTGCAAAACAAGGTGACTATCCAATACCCCAGGCAAAAACAAGTAAGCCAAAGTAAATCCTCAGATTCTTAGAATTATACTACAGCTGGCAAGCCAAAATAAATCCTTTTGTCGATACGACGAAACAGCCTGCCTTACCTGCAGTTCTCTCTTGCGCTTCTCCTCTCTCCATGATCTGCGCATGTAGGTAACAATTAACATGCATGCCTACAGCACGGGCTTCGGGTTTTGGCAGTTGCCTGCTACTAGACCATTATTGCGACCGTAAAATTTTTTTGTCTGCACATCCATCAACTGTAGCATGAAAATCGCCTTGGGGACTTAACCTCAGAGGTCCTAGCATCCTGCCACTCTCTACCCACCGCGCCGTCTTAGCAAGGAGGCGGTCCAGGCCGAATATGCGATTGGTTGAGAAGGCGAGGAGCACCAGCAGTAGCACCGAGCAGGCGAAGATGGATGCCCCGTCCACGTAAAGGCCCCCTTCGTTAAAGCTGCAGCAAGGCCGCGGATAGGGTGTTTTCCAGCGAAAGCCCGCTGTAACCGCACTGTTCTACACGTCTACCCCGCACCACATCACGTCAGACACTTACTGGGGGAAATACTATGGTGCGGCATGACCTGGATGAGTATGGCTTCCTCACTTGCTGGCCGGGTCAGGGCACGAACACCTCACCCATATCCCATGCATGAAGAAAGGCCACGGCAAGGGACCGAATCCCACCAGTCGCCAGCAGATTTGCAGGTACAACAGCACATGACGCAACACAGCCGCGGGGCAGCATATGAGGTGCCTGACTGGGGTCCATGCTCGGAGTCGCCCATGGAAGATTGGCATGACAGCCACCGGTGTGGAACGTGGTGGGGACACACGCCAAGCGCGCTCAGTTATACATTCACTCCGCCCTGCCTACAAAATAAGACAGCGGCTTTCGCGCGCCCGGATGCTTATGCATAAACAGAGAACGCAAACCGCGACGAGAGTGCTAGTTAGCATATGTCTTACACATTACTTGTTTGCCGTAGGTCCGTACGCACCTAGCTGGGTCTACCCGTTGAACCATCAGAGCAGCTTCATCGGATGAGGGTTGCCCCTGGACAGCGAGCCGCCCCAGCTGACCTAGGTTGCCTTCAGGGATGAAGGATCCACTGACATGGTTGATGCATTAGCCCATTAAATCCGTGGAATTACGCGGGAAGCGATGCAGCGTCAAGGGGGCAAATTGGCTGCTCTTGCTGAGCAAAGTGCACGGCCGCGTGAGGCTGGCACCCACGGTGCCGTTACAGGACGCCGCCCTAGGCAAGGCTAACACACCTGTTGTTTATCACAACTGATGCATGTGTCAGGTACTGCCGCACCCGCGTCCTCCTCACTGTGCGGGCATGCCCCATGCCCGCAAGCGGCCTACACAAAGCACGCTGATGCCAACATGGTTCCAGAGCGGGAAGCCTAGACATATTTATCGTCATGGCCTGAATTGTTCAGTTTTGCAAGGACCAGCGGTTGGCCAAAGGATAGGTCCGGTAGTAGCTTGATGTATCTCACAGAAAAACGAACACCGCAGTTACAGCCTGGAAGAAATGCAGTGTAGATAATAACTGCATTAAGTGTATTATAAAATACTGTCTAGCTTCCTTTTTTGGCCGTTGATCCATGACTCTCATTGCCGTACAGGTTCCGTGCTCCAACTCAGATACCAGCGAAATCCTGGTTAAAATGTCAGAATATGATCAGAGTTGTAGTAGCTTAACATTTCTCCGAGTGTCAAACTTAATTTTTGCATATAACGCTCATACGGTGACGCCTGAAAGGGATGAGCTTCAGTAGTAAATATCCAGTTCAGCTTAGTAATAATCTTAAAGTACGAACTATTCGTCAGGAGGCAATATCTCCTATGAGCGGCATGCACGATGCACGATGCAGCAGATAGCCCTGCCGGGAAGTTAAAATTCACACATAACTATCTCTTGAACTGTCCAGAGGCGTTAGTAGTGAGTGTGAAGAAGTCGATGAGTCCCCCAAAATCCAGAGCAACACATTTAATGTAATGGTACTCAGAATCACAACGGGGGACTGTCTGCGCAAGCGGTCCAGATATGAAGAAACACAATAACAGCTAATAGGGTCTTTGGTCAGGATCTCACAATTGGAACACGAGGTGCACAAGAAACTCCGCCACGCAGGTAAATCGCAGCCGGCAAAACCCGGCATATAAAAAGCTGCTGGATCCGACCCCGTCGTGAATGTTGTGTGGAGCTTGGAACGCATTGCTTTGCCTCCATCCAGGGGTTGCTCAGGAATTTCATATTGCCCGCAAACTTTCGCGCCACCATCCAATGTCTGTAAGTCTAACTTTGTGGCCCCCTTAACCCTTTGCTGCATCATTTGCGCGAGTATGTGCAACAACCACGTAGAATGTTCCCTAGGTGCGGACCCAGGTGACGTGATACGTTGTTACTTACCATTACGACAGCTCCTAGCACCAGCTCCGACTGGTTGTACACTTTTAAAGAAATCAACAATTTTTATTGTCGTAGTCGTTAGCCACTGCCTTTATCCATGGAGTGCGCCGCTTCTGAACGGCAGTTGGCCTTCTGCCCGTGTTATCGGAGCCTTCCCTTCCCCTGGATTCCGCCTACTTATTGTGAGGCCTCTATAATTGTCATCTGAGCGTCCTCTCTACAGGATTCCTTGGTGAGATAAACCCTAGCTTACGTTTTGCAGTGAAGACCTAGTAGGTTTCATCGAAAGCGGTACGGTAGCCGCTTGAAACTCCGTATCGAGAGGGGCGGGCGGCACCCAATCCCAAGACAAACTTCAATTCAGCTGTCTTGGGCACTTCCAGTAAGAATGTCGGTAAGCGCGCTTAATTATTTGTTATCTTTAGAATTCTTCCAGGTAATCCTGAATGCGATGCGAGAATCGTCCAGCCTGGAGTGTAGGTCTCGGGTAGCCTAGCTAGCCTCAAGGCTCACCGCCGCGCTTTTCTATCGGTCGAAAATCCTTCTCAAGCATTCACGTTGCAAGCTCCACATAAGTCCAAATGATCCTTCGGGGATCACGCGCTTGCGGGTCGCTGGTCTTGCGATGTTTGTCGACAAGCCCTTGTGGTTTGGCCCGCAACAGGTATCTTTGGATACCACGAGTGGATTGTGGATCCCTTTGTAGGTAGCAGGGCAGGGGCGCATAAGCTGCAGCCTCCATTCTGCTGCGTCGTTTTCCTCGCTGCTCCTTGCTCTCCCAGGCTCTCCCATAGCCATGCATCAGATGGGGGCCGCACAAATGTTTGAGTGTATGATACCGACGGGAAAATCCTCGTCGTTGTGCGCCCTCCTTATTGCTGCTTCCTGAGCGTCACTATAATCCGCTGTCCTGTTTAGATGGAACTAACGGCAATGGCAAATATGTACTCAGCAAGCCACGATGGACTTCCAAGCCAGTCACAGCACCACAGGAAGTTGACAGGCCACATCCAAGCCGCCGCAGCCATCAGCCCGAAACAGCGCTGTTGCGAAAGAAAGCAACATATTTGCTGCTGGCTGGACGCGAGCCTGACGGAAATCAGGGCGCCCGAGTTCAGCTACAGCGAATGCAGCACTCGTCCTGGCGGTGATCAGCTTCAGTCGGGTATGCCTATGCCTTTCAGTAAGAACAAGTTTTTTCCTTTTTGCGTTGAAATTTGTAAGGTTCGCGGTTCCGGTTTACCCAGCTCAATCATCAGGGCTTCCAGCGCGTCCTGGGCTGCAGCCTTGCAGCAGAGATAATTCCTTAGTTGGCAGTTGCGGGACACGTCGGGGAATACCTGTCTGGCTGTGCACCGGAGGCATCAAGGGCGGTCACTTAGCCTGGCTGACCCCTGCTGTACTTTAATCTGAGTTTTATACTTGGACGGAAAATGCTTCAATCCGTCACTGGCAACTATCTGCAGCTGCAGTCATGCAGATAACCATAGTCCGTTGCCCGACTTAACAATTTGTCCTAAGAACCACCAGGTGACCTCGTCCTGTGAGCGTATTGGTTGCCGTACGGCAGCGGCTCGGACAATTCACATCATGGGCATCGTCTGTATCCGATCTGTGTAGGATAGATAGGTGAATGTAGGAACGCATGCTCTGTAAACTTGGTTTGCCATGAATTGACAGGAGGCATGTTACGGACGCCTTGTGCGGGTTGCGCTGTCGGTCAGAATGGCTTAGTAAATTCAAACTACTGATACGTCCGCTAAATGGGCGAAGTTGGTTTGCACTAATTTCATGCATGTACATAGAATTGCATTTACAGGGTTTCGGAATTGCTACATGCTAGATTTGCGAACGTCGTAGCGGTTGCGGAGGCACTATGAGGAAAACTCACTGGATGAACGCAGTGAGTAGATATGCATTATATTAGATAGATTTGCATAAGGATGCTTATGTCATGTAAAGGTGCTGCCATTTTCTGTCTAGCAGTACAAGTTTACAAGAGGTCTGTACGCCCAAGCGAAACCTACATCACCAAACTCCGCAAGTAGTCCAGCTACAAGATAAGCCATCACAAATTATTCGACCAATATATTAAGCCCTCTTCCAAGCTGTCCGTTCTCCCGTTAGCGGGATGTCTTCAGAATCCTTAAGACCCGACGGCGAGCCGAACGTTACAGCTAACTCAGCTACAAACGACAATGTATATGAGGTCTCTCCGCGTTATGGCTCCGTGCAATTGAAGGGTTAGTTTGCCTCGTTTTGCTCCGCACACCGAGGCTTGCGCTCATCTCCTAGCATCCTTTATTTCAATTCCATTTGTGTAGATCTCCCTGCATTGACTCAAGAGGTTCTCACGAGATTCGACCGCAACGGGTAAGGACGGAGGCTCGGTTCGGCTTCCTTTCCCATTAGCTCAGCCTACCCGTTAGGCTAGGCTGGTTCTACCTCGCGGCGGCGGAATTATGTACGTTAAGTATTTATGTTTTCGGCCTGGTTCCATACTGCATCTTATTTGACAGGGATGGCGAGGTCGACGAGGTTGAACTGGAGGGCGTTGTTGATGTCCTTGTCAGGGAACAATTTAAGGGCAGGTAAGTCACGCGCTGCGTTATTGTTGTCGGCGTAATTTGAGGGTATGCGCGTTGCGTGAGAAGCATAAGTGTCAGGGTTCCCAACCCAATCGCCTTTTCCGCAGCCTGATGCTTAAAATATATTTCCTGTTCCGATTTAAACTCTCTTGACATCTGCCGGAGTCGTGTATATGCAAACGCGCGAGGGCCTCCATGCCTTAGCCCTTTACCGCACTTCCTCCACCGCACACCCACCTTCTCCGCCCGACAGCTCTACCGAGTGCGGTGCGGTGTACGCATATATATACATATATACAGTCACATGCCCTGGAAAGGAGCCCATACGAACAGCACATTGGTTTCTTCCTGCAGGCTCGCTCAAGCACTCACGCACTCACTCGCGGGCTAACCCCCTCGCCCCCTCTTGAATACAGACTGTTCCTCTGCGGCATTATGATGGTCGTTTTTGCCCTGGTCCTGCTCCTCGCTTCCAGCTTCGGGTGAGGCCATTTCAATGATATAGATTTCCTTCTGCCGCATCTCCCGACCCCCTTCGCTATCACCAAGCCGGGACGCTGCAACCGGGAATTAACCGCAATCACCGATCTCGTAGTTGCCGAATGGTTACGTAACGGCTACAGGCAGTTGCATTTGACTCCTTCCGCTGCCGGTTTCCACCCCCTGCCCTTTGCGACAGGTTGACTTGGGCAGTGGTGGCCCTTCATAAAGACACCATGGTAAGCGTGTGGTGGCTGCCTACCCGGAGCCCTGGCGGCCCATGGGGTTCTGCAGCCCGCCTCGATTCGCTCCGCACAACACCAAGCATGTGTTTGTACACGTCGTACATCCCCCTCTCCTCGCCCTTCCTCTTTCTGCCCGCTCGCAGCTACGCGGCAAGTTGATGGTCCGAAAACACTCCAGCGATCCCATTCAGCTGGGCAACAGCGAATTCATGGTGACGGACTCCGGCGCGCTCGTGGCCCGCAGCAGCCCTGTCTCCGCTGCGGGGGCCCCCGTGCTGGGTACCTACGGGCTGTACCTCACTCGCACCATCAATGCCAACATGACAACTCGGCTGCTCAATACCCTCACACGCGTTCATGTGAGGCGGGATCCGCCGGAGCAGCCGGAACTGTTAACAGGATTCTGGATCCGGAAATCGGATCCGGATGCGGGATGGGGGCCCAGCAGCGGCAAGCTGCACCGGGAACCAGCAGCCAGGGGTATGGCGGACAGCTTGGGGGCCAGCAGGACTGTATGGCTGCTTCTGGTGGCAGCAATCATGGTGTTGGTAGTAGTGGTAGTGGTAGTGGTAGTGGTGGGCGACATAAGTAGCGGAGCGCCGGGTGGTGTGAGTCTGTGTGGCCACCCATGCCCAAGATTCTGAGGCGCAACCCGACCCTACATGCATGCAACAGGCGTACGCAATTTTTGTGTTCCTTTTTTGTGTTTAGTGTATTTGTGTGCTTTTTTTATGTATGTGTGTGTGTGTGTTTGTCTCCCGTTCTCTCCCACTGCACAGGTCAATGGCTCCAACGGGGGGCAAGTGGGGTTTCGTGTCACAGGGTTTGCCGTACTAGAGCCCCCCGGTACACCCCCCGAGCTCCACATCAGCACTCCCACGGGTGTGTTGGTGCTGGTGGGCGACAAGCTGAGCAGCTACTCCGCCGCAGCGGGTCTTCTGGATACGGACGAGTTGCAGGGGCAGAGTGAGTGCCGAATGGGGGCTCGTGGGGGATGTGGGGGCCTTACGTAAGAGGGGAATGTGAGACGGTTAGGATCCTCGGGGCCCTCATGAAGCCCTCATGAAGTTGCTGGCGCTCTGCACAGACCATAAGCTTCATGGCGCCTCCTCGACGTCATTAACCTTCATTTCTATTTCCTGAAGGTCGCATTTTCCTGCAACCCTGCGTGCCTTGCAGCCCTCCTTTGGCGCCGCAGTCCGTGTCGGGCGCGCATCCTTGGCCAACCCTTCCCTTCCCCCTCCTTCCCTCTTCTTCCCGCCTCGGCAGGCGTGACTGGCATCTTCGCGGGATGAAGTTGGGACAGCTGACTTGAGGGCCGCCTGGCGGCGTGCTTGCGCATGCGTGGGAAAGCGGCTGAGCGCATGGGTAAGCGAAAGAGGCTGATTGACGTGGGAACCTGCCCATGGTGGAAAAGGGCTGGGGTCCTAGTGACACCACCACCACCACCATCACCACCACCACCACAGCAACCAACACGAATGCGGGTACAGACTTACGGAGCGGCGGTGCTGTGCTGTGGCAAGGTGGGGATAGGGGTAGATGAGGGTAAAGGCAGTCAGTATGGGGCGACCGCAACCGGCAGGTTGCGGTCGCAAAGTTACCTCTGGAGGGGTTCCCGGGGGCCGTTGACATGACGCATGAGTAATGTGGAGAGGAGGAGAGGGGAGGAGGGGAGAGGTTAAGGGTGCACTGAAGCGGCATGCAGTGTCATGACCCACCAAGACCCACACGGGCGCCAATGTGTTCCGGAGCTGCACTTATCGCTTCACAGGACCGAGTCCGACAATGACACAATTCGGACTTAGGATCCAGGAATAAGGGGAACTGTTTGAATAACATCTGCATTTGGATCCGACCCCGTGCGGCGGGTTCTCGCTTGCGTGTCTGTAATTGTATGTTCGTCTGTATGTATGTGTTGTGGGTGCCTCTCTGGGGACGGTGATGTTGATGCTTGTGGCGGAACGATGCAGAGCATGTGCCGGCAGCTCCGAGCTCTTAGCAAAAGGTTCTATAGCATTCTAGGAGTGTGGCGGTCAGATGATGGTGGTGTACGGCGTAGCTGTGGGGTCGTGCGGTGGATGGCCGGGTTGTTTTATGCTTGTGAGTCTTGGGGGAGGAAGGTGTGCTTTTATGTGACTGTCAAGGAAAGGGGGATGTATCTTGCCGCTCGTGCGCTGCACTCATGTCAGCAGAGAGCATCGTAGGACAGAGCACCTTAGTAGCGCCCACCTGCCTGGGGGCGTCGGAATCGGCAGCGGCGATAAGAAGCAACGGAGGCAGGGACAGTAATGGGCTGCCTAAATCGCACAGGCACCTATCTTGTCAGGGGTCGGGGGGAAACGATGTGACCAAGGTTCCTGTGGTCCCTTGGGCAGCCCATCCGGTGTCTGTGGTGTTGAAAAGCCCTGGGCAGGGGGAAGGCGGCGCGCAAGCCCGTAGGCCTGGCTTTGGCGGTTTGGAGGATAGAACGGTCCGCCATTCACCCAAATTCTTAAGACCGGCCCCAAATCTTACTATGCGACCGATATCCTATTTGCGACCGTAGCCTTCGTAAATTCATGAGTTTTGTGGTGGAATCTGCAGCTTTCGTGCATTATATACAGTTCTTTTGACATCTTGACCAACCTTCAATACGCGACGAAGGCAACAACAACAACAACCACTAATTACCAAACGATCAACCGTCACCAGTATTGTTGTTGCAATTGCTTTTGCCACGAGATCCATTAGATCACGACACATGGCGCCGGTCACTGTGTTCTTCGCCGTTTTGTATCAATCTGTGAATCCGCATTTACGGTAATAGCTTTTTTGCCTGGCGGCGGCACGGTACACGGAATACAACTGTGGACGAAAAGCTCCCTGGGCCGCATTTGTCGGACGCCTGAGGCGCACTCCGAATGGTCCCCCTTGGCCACGGTGACATGGCAAGATTTTGTGTGAGGAATTATTATCTCAAAGCAATTGGAGCTGAGCTTAGCTTGGGTGTGGGAGCTTTGGGCGATTGTGTTCCTTACAGCTGCTTGTAACCGGCGAAAGTGGGCGGTGCCGATGACGCTGGAGGGGTGGCGATGACGACGGTGGTTGGGGCTTGTCCAACCTTGGAAAAACACAACCTCTGCCGTACACGGAGGTCGCGGCAGCTTTAGCAGAAAGCCGCGGCAGGAAGAAGAGGCGGCGAAGGGGGAAGAGGCATAAATAACTAAATTGCCATTCATTCCGTGTATGTGTGCTCGTGTGTTATAATTGTATACGTCTACAGAAGTCGGTATGTATGTCTGATATGAATGTATTTGTTCTCGCGTACGTATGTGTGTATGTATGTACGTGTGTTCAAGCATGTGGCAAAGGATCAAACCTTGTGCCGGTTTGACCGTCACCCCACCCTGCAGCGGCCTTCCCGGTGGGGTTTCCAATAATGGTCGCATTGCTCGTTGAGGACTTAAGAAAAAGGCATCGACTGCAGAGGAATTTCGCCTGAATTTCACGTGGCGGCACCTGGGGTTCCTCGTCATGGGCATGAGGGTAAGAGTGTACTCGGCGGTTTATTTTGCTCGAGTGTACGACTCCTCGTTGTACGTCCATGCGCGACTTTAGAGGGTAAATGTGAGTGCGTGTGCAGTCGCGGCTGCCAACGGGGACCGTTCACCCTTAGGCTTTTGGACAAACAGCGATTGTTGCTGTTGGATGTGGCACTGTCACGGGCTACGCAACGATCCAGCTCAATAACGGCCGCGTTGCCAGATTAAGACACACGTCCCGCACGCCGGGATGACGTCCTCTTCTCTTCCGGAGGAGGAGGAGGACGAGGACGCTCTATATGCACTTCATGGGGTGTGGGGTGGTGGAACTTTTGACCGCGTGTCGTCGAGGGCGTGTCCAGGGCAACCATGCTTGTATGTGTTTGCATGTATGTCGTCAACGTGCACGTGCGGGCTTACGTGTTTGCCACTAGGGCTCTTGAACATTCTTGACGTGTCTGCATGTGTAGTGTACGAGCGAACTAGCGAGCGATGAGGCGCGTGCATTGCGCACTTGGCTTTGTAATTGTTTAATGTTGCGGCAGCTGTACGGTCGTACTATAGGAACACGATTCCGCATGCCAGGTGCGTGCGGGGTATGTAGCCGCGTGAACATGAACGATAAAATAGCGTTTGCAGTGATGTGCAGTGATGTATAGTGATGTGCAGTGATTCATAGTGATGTGCAGTGATGTGTACTTATGTCACTTGTGAAGCATTCCAAAGCCCGTGTTGGGCTTTGCGCTGGTAACCCCGCAGTAAGTCTGTCCGCCCAGGTGCGTGCGTGTGTGTGTGTATGTGCCCGTGCCGCCCTTCACGCCGTGGTAGGCGCACAGGATTCCCCCTTTTCACCCTCGACCCTGTAAATCATAAGACGCAGGAGTATGTAAAGGCCCAGGAATATGGGAGGTGTGGCTCAATTCTTACGGTGTTACTCAGGCTGGAACATCTCATCTCAGCCACATTGTCAACACCTGTCCTCGACCAAAATCATCAGCACTGCCGTCACCATCAAACTTCACACAAACACTCGTATGCACACTTGACAAATGTTTCCCCCGCCACGCATACAACATGCACGATGATGCATACCATGGCCTATCAGCCACATGCATCAGAGCTTTGGAAAGACAATATGGCTGGAGTGCGCAATGCGCGTGACAAAGTCAACACGGCTCAACACACACACACACACACACACACACACACACACACACACACACACACACACACACACACACACACACACACACACACACGCATAGACGCAAACACACACGCATTCCCACATGAGCCGTGAAGTTGAACCGCGTGCACAATGGCAGTAGCACAGCGGGTTGGGGCCAAAGAGTTCTACACACACATCTTCCCTTGAAAGCCTCGGGGGAGGGTTCCAAGTCGCCACTCGACCACTCATATCGTGCCTCCATTTGCAGTCCCTTTAAGGCAGGCCTATCTTTCATTATCAGCATCATCGCTATCAGCATCCAAAGCAACTTTGAGGGTAGGGAACCTTGATGTGAGACCTTCGTCACCCCCAAGCCGCGCGCCAAAGCAAATACAGCCACTTCTCTTGTGGGGTATTTCTAGGCAGGACTCAGCATTACGGTGTAGGTATGTGTGGATTATTGCGGCACCCAGTGACCATCACCCTTTGTGCCTGGCCGTGTTGCCAAAGTGCTCTCAATTCTTAACAAAACGCCGAAACCAGCATGTAAGCATGTAAGTAAGTAACGTATGCATGTATATGCCGGTGTATGTGTGTGTTGGTACATATTCCAACATCTTTTGGGTATGGATGTGTGAGCCAATGAACCTCCCCCCCCCCACACACACACACATCCGCGCGACTTACTGCGTGCGCACTAGAGCGGCGGGGCAAGCGGCGTCTGCGGTCTGTCGACACCAACCGACATGGACCATCACCGAAGCGCCTGCAGCTATCCGTGCAACTGCAACCGCGCCAAGGGAAGCTTTTGTCTGGACCCCGCCAGCGTGAACTTCAGTGTGCGGTGTGCGTATGTATGTATGTATGTACGTGTATCTATTGAATAATTGCTGGTACGGGCCGCAGTTCAGGATACGCTAGAGGGAAAGCATGATCACATTCCGTGAGCTGGCGCAGAAACGTCAGAACTGCACATCTGCATGAGAACATCTGCATGATCCGCATGTGAGCGCGAAAGTGGATCAAAGACAGTAGCGGCAGTAGCGGCAGTAGCAGTAGTAGCAGTAGTAGCAGTGCGTGTCGATATCCACAGGCAGACGTTGCAAAAACGTAAGGTAAGGTAAGGTAAGGTAAGGTAAGGTGGGTACGCAGCCCGCCGCCAGTGCCCAACCGCCACCTCGCCGCCTTCACGGTCCTTACGACCTTGCCGCCGTCCGCTACCGCCGAGCGACGCAGCGGAAACAACACCACCACACGCCCGCCCTTCGTGTGCAGCATATCTGTCCCTGTTATCTGCCTCGCCTGCCGAGCAACTCGTGCCGGATGGCACATCTAGGGGTACGCCGCGTGGCCCAACAGTCGTGAGATGCAGTCACGACGGATGCAATCACATAATCACACACACAAACACACACACGCACACACACCACAACCAGTAGCGAATCCCCACCCGGACTCTGCTTTGCATCATGTGCTCTACTGTACTGTCTTGCGGCACTTGCGGAGAGCGAGCCTGAAAGTGTTCATCTGCTTGGGCTTGGTCTAAATAAATTTGCAGTTTTGTACTCTCCTAAACTGCCCCCTATGCGACCTGTGCAGCTGGTATGCGGCTCATGCGGTGAATGCCCCAACTCAACAAATCTGCTGCTGCTGCTGCTGCTGCTGCCCGCAAACCGTGGTTCGTCGCCAACGACCCGTGGGTCGCGGCCCGTGGTTCCCCGGGGCAACACACACACCATGTCAACATCAACAGCCTCAGCCCCTCATACCCACGTCACCCACAACAACAACCCTCCTCTTGCAACCCTCCTTTGGCTGTGCCCCTGGCTGTGCCGCAACAAGCTCATACGTCCTAATGTATGTGTGGCTATGCATGCGCATGTCTCCCTCCACCTTCCTCCCTGCCTTCATTCCCCCTCCCTGCCTCCCTCCGTCCCTTCCAGACCGCATGAAATGCCGCATTCATGAACGCTTCGTCACTTTCTTTTGGCCAGTGATTGTGGTTCCACATAAAAGGTATCGCGAAATAACTCCCTGCTCCCCCCCTCCCGCACCCCGGTAGGTCCCCATGCAACTTTATGTGTGTGTACTGCGCCTGTATGTATAAACATCAACGTCTTCATAACTTGACATTGGTTTGGAGGGATTGATAAGAGGGATTGGTGGATGGATGGATGGATGGATGAATGGATGCTCCTAACCACCCGATGGCAATGTCCCAGAGCTCCCCCAGGGGCCCTGGGAGCTCCCTCCTTTCCCCCCAAATTTCGCGCCCTCTCAACTTCCCCTACAGGCGGGCTTGCCGTACATGCTAGCATGACAACAAAAACACTCACACAGGACCGACACATATACAAATACACGTGCCATTATCCTCCACCCGTCACACACACCCCCTAGGGATGCGCACGTACTCTCTACTCAAGTCATGATTCCTCCCTCACTTAGGGGCGGGTCCTGTTCGCGCGACAACTCCCCCCGGTGGTGCGGTGTTTCGGTTTCATTCCTCCATCGTGAACGCAAACCAGTAAATACAACGGAGAAAGACGCGGCGGACACCGCTGCTCACTTCCTTCGCCCACTAACACACTTAACATGAAACTTCTCAAAAAAAACTCAAGAACGACCAAAAAATAAGACGATGTCTTTTAAACCTCGTCTTTCACAATGGGCACAGAGCTCCGAGGACCAGGATCGGAAGGAATAGGGAGAAGAAAAGGGGACGGTATGCAATGCAAGGGAAAGGTTAGGAAATGGCAGTGGTGGTAGAGGCGATAGACTGACGGGTCGTACTGACGCCTCTACGCCGCAGAAGTATCTCCGTCGATGTCTCTTCCATCTATGCGGCGGGACCGCCGCCCTTGCCGCCCTTGCCGCCCTTCTTGGCCTCTTTGCCAGCAGCCGCACTCGCACTCGCACTCGCCGCGGCAGCAGCCGCAGCCGCAGCCGCCGCTGCCTCCGCCGCGAGCCGCTTGTACATGTCGTCCACAGCCGCTCGGTAGCGGTTCAGAAGCGGGGCTCTCTTCAATTTGAAAGAGGGCGTCAACAGCTCATTCTCCACCGTGAACTGCACCAACACCGATAACACCCACAACACCAACACGCAAAGCGGCAACGGAAGCAACAGCAGGAGTGCATGTTAAGGCGCTCAGTCCCATATAAAGCGCGCACATAAACTTCCCGACATAATTAATCTGCTCCCTACGCGCATCCTGTCAGCTGCTATACACCCACGCTTCACAGCGCCGCCACGGAGCCCCATCCCCCGCTTTCTTACGACAATTGCGGTTAACCCAACCGGCTAGCTCTGACACGTCATTTTGAATGCAACCATAAGCACACAAGTGTCCAAACTCCTCCCCCCCCCCCGCACGCACACACACACACACATTCCACACGCACCTGCTCCGGAACCAGCTTTACCGCCTTGACCTGCTCCAACGAATTCAGTTTCTCCGCCTTGCCGGTCGCGGTCATGGCCGACAGTACGGCAGCCGTGGCGGCGGGCGAGTCGCACACCGCCGCGAAGTCGCCGTCTAGATGATTCTCCGCCGCCCAGTTGAGCAGCGCCTTCTCCTTGGGCACCACCACCGCCACCAGGCACGGCTCCGTGGAGTCGCCGTACACCCAGATCTGCTCCACCAGGGGACACGTCTTGTACACGTTCTCCACCTTCTCCACAGCGATGTACTCACCTGCACACATCAAAATTGTTTTCAAGAGGACTTTCAGATCTTCAAACCATTTCCCCTCAAACGACAGAATAACATGTTCATTTTTCGCCTCGACCTTGTCGTACCGCAAGGGGAGGTTTCCAAAAAGGGGGTTCTTGTTTTTTTTATCCGGATTATTCGGGGTTCATAAAGCATGTTCGCATGTTGTTTTTTCCCCACCTACCTTGGCTCAGTTTGAAGATGTTCTTTTTGCGGTCGATGATCTTGAGGGTGCCGTCTCCCGTAATCTCTCCCACATCACCCGTGTGGAAGAAGCCGTCGTCGTCTTTAGGATTGATTCCGGAGCGGGCGGCGGCGGCGGCGGCGGCGGCGACGACGATCGAAGCGGAGGAAGACGGCAGACAGAGGGAGACGAAGGGGGAGCGGCAAAGCGGGAGGAGTCCACCAGAACAGGAAACCACGGACGATGTCTTCTCATGGGTGCGCCGAGATGATGTATTACCATATCGGGAAACCAAGATATGTGGTGTGTGAGGTGGTGGTGGTGGGGAGACCCCCCTTGGGGCCCGGGGGCTTATGCAGGGGGGTGCATTGCGCGGTGGGGCCCGGGGGGGGGCCCGGGGGGAAATCGCGGGCAGCGATGAAATCCTTTGGTCAGTACCCACAAGATGACGTGTCCAACACCCCCCGCAACCCCCCTCCCGCCGTACTGCGGGGGCTTACCCACCTAAACACCCTCCTCCTCCTCCTCCCCCAAACCCCACCCTCTTTCCCCCTTCGCGCCACCTCCCCCTCCTGCCCCCTGCTCCATGCCCCCTCCCTCCCTCCCTCCCTCACCCCCCATCCCCCCCGCCCCCACATCCACGCACCCAGGGCTTCCTTAGTCAGCTGCTCGTTCTTGTAGTAGCCGCTGAAAAGCGCCGGTCCCCGCACACACACCTCCCCCTGGGGGGGCTGGCTGGAGGGGAAGTACCCCAGCTCCGGAACCGCCTCCAGCCGCAGCTCCGTACAGGGCATGGGCGCACCCACAGTCCCCAGGTGCAGGGGGTTGTCGGGGTTGGCGATGAAAGAGGCGGCGCACGTCTCCGTGAGCCCGTAACCCTGCGTGCGTGCGTGTGTGTGTGTGTAATGGTGGTGGTGGTGGGGGGGCAGGGAGGGAAAGTGAAGTTGCTGCCAAGGAAAGAGAAGCAGGACTGACCAGGGGCAGGGGGGGGAAAGACGAACCACGCACGATTGAAGCTGCTGCCAGGGGGGGCGGGAGACACGTTGTGGAGTTGCAGTGTTTCTGGCAGGGTGGGTGGGTGGGTGGGTGGGTATCATATGCAAGAAACCCAGACATATGAACTGCTGCCTGCCGGCGTCCTCAAAAGTCCGAAGCTGCCCCTAGGGAGTGAGTCCTAAGCGATGAAGTCAGCGAGCGACCCGTGGTTCTGGAAGTAAAGCCCCATTACGTTGCCGACAATATTTGTGGTGTAGTCCTCGCGTCTGGTCTCGTAAGACTGTTTCTTAGCTCCAGCGTAGCGCCGACGTGAGCTGTATCTACTGTATCTATGTACTGGAGTGCCGAAAGAGGGTGTACCTTTGCTAGGCGTCGTCGTAAAGGTCAAGGAGTCATTAAGAAAGCTGGAGCCCCTCTGCCCCTCCCCCTCCCCCCTCCCCCCTCCGCACCTGCACAAACGGCGCGCAGCACACCACCCTCATGAACGCCTCAATCTGGTTCGCCAGCGGCGCTGATCCGCTGACCAGCACCCGGACCCGGCCCCCCAGCTTCTTCTTGATGGAGCTCATCACCAGCAGGTCGCTGATGGGGGAGGCCTGCGAGGGGGTGGGGGGTAAGCCGGTGGGGGGGGGGTATTGGTGACACACCTGATAGGGACCGACGGCTTGGGGTGTGAGGGGGAGGGTGAGGGTGAGGGGGGCGCGAAGGGGAGGGACAGACTGCTGCTTGGCATGCGGCAAGGGCCCCAGCATATGGTGTGTTTCGGAGCGGATATTTTTTCGGGGTTTGGGGAATCATATGATGCAGGAGGAAACACGGAATGAACTGCTGGCTGAGGGCGTCCAAAGTTTGAAACTGTCCCCAGTGATGTAGTCCTAAGTGGTGGTGATGATTTCGTCGACTCGGGGTGTGTGGGAAGACACGAAACAAACCGCGACATAACGGGCGCACGACAGGCGAGAGGAAAGCAGCTGCGACAGCAGCAGCAGCAGCAGCCGCAGCAGCAGAAAATCAGGACGATCAGTGGCGCTCGTGGCTCCCCGCCCCACCACGCTCTGCTTGAAGCCCATCTTCAAGTAGAACTCCTTGCGGTAGTAGGCCCAGTGGAACAAGAGGCGGGAAAAGAAGCTGCCACTCGCGACCTGTGTGCGTGTGTGTGTGCGTATGTTGGGGGGAGGGGGGACATGGAAGGTGTGAAAGACTTATGGTTGGGAATATGGCCTAGGTAGATATACCTAGGAAACATGACGTCACGTGATGCAATGTAACACTGTGTATGTGTATGTATATATGTGTGCCAGTGCAAAGTCACCGAGCAACGCTCCAAGTGCGCACGTCACTACTCGTCTCTGGGCTACTCCCCCTCCCCCCCCACACACACCACCACCTAGGAACACAACCCCAATCCACCCCGATCCAGCCCAACACCTCCGTACCTTATCCCGAATGCCGTTGTACACTCGCTCAAACACGCGGGGAACCCCGGCAAAGAGAGTGGGTTTCAGCGCCCCCACGTCCTCCAGCACCTTGCGAACGTCCCCCTGCCAGTAGCCCACACAGCCACCGGCGTGAAGCATCAGCTCCTCGACAACCCTGCCGGGTATGGCGGGGTGTGTTGTGTGTGTGTATTGTGTGGAGGGGTGGGGGAAAGGGGGCGGACCGCGGTTCCGTGTGTGTGTGTGTGTGTGTGTGTGTGTGTGTGTGTGACTTGGGGTGGTGGGGTGGGTGGGGATGCGAGGGGATGGAAATTACATGTAAGCATCAAGTTGTTCATTGGTTCAACTATTCATTTATTCGCTATAGTCTAGGCGGTCAGGATGCGAGATTTTCACTCTCGAGACCCGGGTTCGAGTCCCGGTAGAGAAAACGTCACTTGAGTCGGTGCCACGCCGATGCACATCGTTCTGTGGCGTGGTCTGGGCTCCTCGAGCAAGGAAATCCTCGAGGCATCTGCCTGCTATCCGACCCAGATCAGAGCCGTAGATCGACACACAAATCCCGGTATATGGTCGGGAGACACTACCCTTCTACCGTCCACGGGCCCCCGGCTTTTAAGGACACACCCGCACTTGTGCGCGGACCTGTAACTTGTAACTTTATTCACTTCACTTCCTTTAATGGGGGCTTCCATCCCCCGGGGTTTTCTGGTGATGTCTGTCCAGGGATGGCCGCCCCGGTGCGGGGCATAGCGTGTTGTGTTTCCTATTCGCGGAATTCCCTGGCTGGCTGGCTGGCTGGCTGGCTGGCTGAGGAGGGCGGATTGATGCGCGGAAAACATGAAAACTGACGTTCAAGGAGGCAGGCAGGCAGGCAGGTAGGTAGCAGAGGAGGTGAGGTGAGGACGAGAAATAAGATGTGTATAAGCTTCGTCGTCCCTCCTACCCCCCCCTCGTACCGAACCCTACCCCCACCTATCGAAGATGTGCGCCAGCGGCAGGAAGCTCAGGTACGAGTCCGAGGGCCCTATGTCCTCCTTGAAGTTCTTCAGAAACGCCTTGATCGCGGCGATGGTGGCCACCACTGCACGGTGCGGGATC